GGGGGGGGGGGGGGGGGGGGGGGGGGGGGGGGGGGGGGGGGGGGGGGGGGGGGGGGGGGGGGGGGGGGGGGGGGGGGCGGGGGAGGGGGGGGGGGGGGGGGGGGGGGGGGGGGGGGGGGGGGGGGGGGGGGGGGGGGGGGGGGGGGGGGGGGGGGGAGGGGAGCATAACAGGAGGACGGATGAGCATAAAAAAAAGACAGGTCGGCATAAAGAAGAAAACGGTGAGAATAACGAGAGAAGTGGTAGCATAACCAAAGGACCTTGGAGCATAATAAAAGGAACGGTGCAGCATAAGGGATCGGGACGGCTTCCGGGACACAGAGAGAATAAGAAAAAAAACGCATAGCATAAGAAAAAAAACCCAGCCCAATGAAATTTAGGGCTTTTCAGGGTTTAGGGTTGTAGACAGCATCCTCTATAATGGGGTGGGGGGGGGGGTGGCCTGGGACCTCTTAAAAACCAACAAGCGCTAAAGACTCGACACCCAAAACTAGATTTTCAAACGCCATCACAAGAACCCCTAAACCCTCCCGAAGCCCCACAACATCTCCCAAAATACGATCATCAACCCATCTACTTCAACCCCAACCCAACCCCTAAGCCCCCAAATCTCCTAAGCCCCTTGAACCCCCCGAAAGCCGAAAAAGCCGCAGGTGCTCCGAGGTGCGTGGCTTGGGTCGGCCCCGCGCGCAAGCAGCTCGGAGGCGACCTCATCATAGCCTCGGCGGAGCTCCGGGGCTTAGGGTTTAGGGTTTTAAGGTTTAGGGTTTAGGGTTTAGGGTTTAGGGTTTAGGGTTCGGAGGCTACCTCGTCATAGCCTCGGGGGGAGCTCCGGGCAGCTTCCGGGAAGGGGACGGTTTTTTGTCTCGGTCTAGGGGCAGGGCTGCACGCGAATGCACCTACATGGGTAGAGACAGGCCTCTGAGGCTCCGCACCCATGCAGCAAGCCCACTGCAGCAGGGAGCAATCGTGGTAGCTGCGGTCGACCCAATTCGGATCGAGGCTGGCGTGCTTCCTGGAACTTGCTGATGCTTAAGGGGAGCCAGGGATGCATGTTCTGGGCACGGTATGATTGCCAGGATCCACTACGCAACCTCGCCCCCCTAAACAACTTGAAAACCCTAGAAAAACCCTGAATTAAACACCCAAACAAAAACGCACACTAAAGCAACCTCTAATAAAAATAAGCTTGTTAAAGACCCTTTTAAAAAAGGTAAAGGAAAAAAGAAAATATAATAATAATAAAACTCTCTCAACCCATGGCCTCAGCAGCGCCAGCGGCTCGCGCTGCATCTGCGTCAGGGTGGGCCCGCCCTCCGCCTGGATCATGGCCTGGCTCGGGGTTTTAGGGTTTAGGGTTTAGGGTTTGGGGTTCAGGGGTTAGGGTTTAGGGCTTAGGGTTTAGGGTCTAGGGTCTAGGGTTTAGGGTTCAGGGGTTAGGGGTTAGGGCTTAGGGTTAGGGAGTATCTGGGTTTTTGGGAGGCTTGGGGTTTAGGATCACGGCCCGGTTGCTTTTGGATCTTTTTGCGGGCTTTTAGGGTGTCTGGTGGGTTTGTTTGGGGTTTCATGGGCTTTTGGGGTTCTGATGGGTCATTTTGAGGTTTGGGGCTTTTGGTTTTTTATGAGTTTTTGGGTGGAAAACACTTCCCTGGGATGGGGTTCAGGGGGGGTAGGTACTGAGGGAAACTTAGGGGGAAGGGGGGAGCCTAGGGAGCTTGAGGGAGTGGGGACCTCTCCCTGAAGAACATTATGCATATATATGTATATATGTATATATACATACATACATACATATGTACATATGTATACGTATATATATATATATACATATATATAGATATACTATCCGGAACTTAGGGCTTAGGGCGTAGGGTTTGTGAGACCCGACGATCCCACACAGGCCGAGCCCTAACTCCTATGTGGGCCCCCTTGTCGAAGGGTAGTAGGGTTCAGAACCTAAGCAGCTCCCCTAAACTCTTCAAACTGTTAAAGCCCTAAACCCTTTTTGAACCTTGTTAAACCATAAAAGCCCTTTAAGGCCCTTTAAGGCCCTTAAAGGCCACCCTAAACACTAAACCCTGAACCCTGAACCCTAAACCCTAAACCCTAAGCCCTAGACCCATGGGGCTCGCCTCGGCTTCCTCGCGGCGTCCGGCAGCTGAGCCAGGGGCGGAGCTTCGTTTTGTTGGGGGGGGGGGGGGGGGGGACTTCAGGGGCGTTAGGGTTGAGGATGTACTAGGGTGTAGGGTTTGGGATTTAGGGTTTCGGGTTGAGGGTGTAGGGTGCAAGGTGTAGGGTTTGGGGTTTCGGGTTTCGTAAGAAGTTGGAACGTGAGGTGTGTGGTGGGCGTGGTAGCAACGTTGTTTTTGCGATCCAGAAACCTTCCAGTCTGCAGTGCAGAACATGCTTGTTTCATTGTGATGATGTCCAATCATTGTTATCGCATGTTGCGACACACGTTGTGCTACGTGTACCAGTTGCGGCAAAGGGTTTGCAGCATCAAGGTGAGCAGAGTGGCCAACGCGATCAGCGTGCAAATGGCGCTGACTCCATGGGTGAAGACCGGCGCTCCATCTGGGTCAGCGGGGTGATTTCCCAAGAAGCAGGCTGCCAGCAACGAGAAATTTCTTACGCAGGGCATGCAAATCCTCAGCAAACTCTGTCAGAAGAATGCCATGGACGTTTGGGAGCTGCAAGCTGCCACCTTCTTGACCCTCCAGATGCCTAGCATTGTCAATGCCCTCAAGGCCGCCAAGACCTACAACGATGACCACCTGAAATCCAGATCTCCGGATGGAGCTCCACCAGAGGGTCACCCGCATTGTCATGCTTGGATTGCCTTACTTGAAACCCTGGTGGGCCTGCCATCCCTGGACCCCATGGACAAGGTGGAGATCGACAAGCATGTTCAGGATCACTGCGTGCAAGGTCAAGTAAATGCTTTGACCAGTCGAAGATGAAGGTTTAGTGAACCAGTGTGATCAATTTTGTTTATGCTGGAACGCCACATGCATGAGACGGGCGGCAAGGCACTAGTTTTTTGTTTTGTAGTCGCCCCCTGGGCCCCAAGTATAGCCTGTAAGGGCTGGAAACTACGCCCTCAATTCCCATCTCTCTGCCGAACACATATAGCACGCCCCTGCACTTGGGATTCTTTTGAAAGGGAGATTGCTCTGATTGTGTGCTTTGGGTCAGGGCCGAGGCGTTCTGTGACTTCAGGTTCCCATGGAGAGGCTCTTCAGGAATTGAAACTCCCAAACCCTTGAAGCCCAGCTCATCCGGCTCCCCGTCTCCCCGGCTCCCCTAAACCCTCGCACCTAGGAGCTGCGAGTACTTCGCGGTGTCGAACCTTCGTGAGGCTGGGGGCTTCGTCGGGTTCTTGGGTTCACCAGTACAGGTGGCTCTTGCTGGAGGACCAAATTAACCCTAAAATTGTGGTCATATCATCCTACCATCCCGATTAAGGTATGTGGACCATAAACCCTTTTAGGGTTCATATACTACTACAACCCCGATTAAGGCATGTGGACCATAAACCCCTTTAGGGTTCATTTGGTCCCCAAGGTTGTGGACCATAGGGCCCTTAGACACTCAGGACGCCTCTTTTTCCAACCAATGGTGGCAAAGGCCTGCTGCTCCAAAAAGCACAAAAGGTTCGGGGCATAAGCTTAGGGCTTGATTTGAGGGTTGGGGGTGTAGGGTTTGGGATTCAAGGCTTAGGGTTTGTTGGGCTTCCCTGCACCCTAGACCCTAAATCCTCCTTTTGGGAGTTTTGCACCACCTAAACCTTAAACCTTGTAAAGCCCAAACCCTGCCTTGCCCCCCTAGACTCCTAAACCCCCAAGATCGCGAACTTTGTAAACCCCTGAACCCTGAACCCCTCAACCCCGCGAAGCCGTGAACCTTGTAAACCCCTAAACTCCCGTAAGCACACAAATCTTCGTCAAGGGATTAGGACTCGCACCCCTAAGGTTGTACCCTCAAAAGATTTCCCTTAATGTACTCCTAGTATGGCCCTTATTCTACCTTCCTTCAAAAGGGGGTCCCCAAACCCACGAGTACCACCTTAGGGGCCCCAGGGGCCCAAACGACTTAAGCCCCTTCCGGGCCCACCGACGCGTCGTTGGTCTCCGGCGGCGAGCGCATCGCCGCCATTAGCGAGGCCTGAGACGCACGCAGGTCTCCCCAAACCCTAAACCTTAAACCTTAAACCCTGAACCTTAAACTCTTTGTTGCATCTTGCGGAAGCGCCTCTTTACGTCCTAAACCCTAAGGTCTAACCCCTAATAAGGGTCTGGGCTTTGCGGCCGGGTTTGAGGGGTAAAGCTCAGGGGGTTCCAGGAGGGCTTCGGATGGTCAAGGGTTCAGGGATCCGGCTTTGGGGGTTTAGGAATTAGGGACCCTCAACCCTAAACCCTAAACCCCAAACCCGAAACCCTAAACCCTAAACCCTTGGGGAAGCCTCGGGACCATTGCCACGGAGGAGAAGGTTCGACGGCTCCTGCTTGGAGGTTCATGGGTACTTACAACCCCAATTATCGGTCTACTTATAGCCTACTTAGAGGACTTAGGGGGCTTATAAGTACAGATATAAGTGGGGCTATAAGTACCCATGAACCTCCAAGCGTGTCAAGGATTTAGGGGCCAGGGGGTTGGAGTTCAGGGAAGTTGGGGGTTTACGTGCTTTTTGGGGCTTAGGAAGCTTAGGCCTACGCCCTAACCCTAAACCCTAAACCCTAAACCCTAAACCCTAGACCAGAAACCCTAACCTAAACCCATTAGGGTGAGGATCTCCGTACGGCCCTTGGGGGACTCAAAACTTAAGGGTTGGGGGTCTAGGGTTCAGGGTTTAGGGCTTGGGGTTTAGGGTTTAAGCAAATACCCGAAGTATCGACAGAACCTTAAATTTTGGTACTATATCGTTTTATGAGTATCTCACGATTTGATTACATCGATTAGAAGCTTGAGAGAACAGCTGCGCAAAAGACGCTAGAACCGACCGATTCCTGAAACCCGAAGACCCTGTATAACCTAGAATAACTCCCTAGAATCTCTTAAAAGCCCTATCTTGAACTCCCTGTCGAGGGTATCGCATGTCGTCCTTGTCCTCGCTCCAGAAGGTCAAGGGGTTCAACTCAAGACCGGTTGCGGCATCGATGATGGTCCCGGCACCTCAGCATGAGTTCAGGGTATCTTAGGGAATTCAGGTATGTTGGGTTTCGAGCTTAGGGTTTAAAGAATGACCCTGTAGCCTTCTCGCCCCTCCGCCTTTTGCATCTTTCCCGTGCTGGGCGGCCCCCACGCGGCCGCAGGCGCTCAGGGGCTGGCCGGGCCGCGGCGGCCGAAGGCGCCTGGAGAGGACTTTCTGAGGGTTCAGGGTTTAGGGTGTAGGGTGTAGGGTTTAGGGTTTAGGGTTGAACCGTTTGCGGGCTAAACCCTAGAGACCCCAAACCCCTCAAAGCCCTTCACCCTAAGCCCAAAAAACAAGAAACACCATGGGACCCTAAACCCCAAACCCTAAACCCTAAACCCCAAACCCCAAACCCTAAACCCCAAACCCTAAACCCTAAACCCTTGGGAGAGCTCCAAGTTGACGCTAACCCGAAAACCCTAAACCCTAAACCCTAAACCCTAAACCCTTCGAAACCCAACCAACCTGCGGCTCGCCGGCGGCCTTGCCTTTGGTGTTCAGGAAGCCTGTCTTTCGCAAGGAGCTAACATGCCTTTTGGGGCGTTGGTAGGGTTTAGGGTTTAGGGTTTAGGGTTGAGGGTTTAGGGTTTAGGGTTTAGGGCTTAGGGTTTAGGGTTTAGGGTTTGGGGTTTGGGGTTTAGGGTTTAGGGTTTAGGGTTTTGGGGAGGATGGGGGCAAGGGGAGGTTGCCCAAAACTAGGGAGACCCTGGCAAAAAAGGCATGCACTCCACAGGCTCCATGGCAGAACGGGCTGCAACTGTTCTTCCCTTCTGTGTCTGCAGCTGAGGGCCCTTAAACAAGGGCCGGTCCAGAGTCAGAGTCCAGAGCCACAGCATCCCTAAACAACCTACACATCCAACATTCATCCTGAACCGCGAAACTCTGCAAAAACCTTCCCCTACATCTGGATCCATGCAGAACAAGCTCAGCATAGGCTCATGGAATCAACCTTGGCAGAATTGATGCCGGCGTGCCTGTCTTGATGAGAGACGTCGGTCAGGCTGCAGGCAAAGCAGGCCCGCTGAGGAGCTCGTGCCCTTTCATGAGCGTAAAGCCCTGGTCGCATGTCGAGAGCGAGTTGTAGTCCTGTCCCTGGCCATTTTGGGAACGTGTCTCTGAAATGGTGGAGCTGCGTACCCTGTGGCCAATTCGTACATGACGGCGTTCCCGGCAGCTGAAAGATCTGAAGCAAAGTGTCAATTTGAGAGCCTCCTGAGAACAACGGGCGGCCGGCGCACATCTCTGCGATCACACAGCCGGCTGACCAACAGCCCAGTTCAAATCCATAGCGAGCTGCGCCAAGGAGGAGCTCACCACTTCCAGCGTCAGCGGTTGCTGCGGATCGCTCACGGCCGCCTGGCCAAAGTCTGCTATCTTCAGGATGCCTTCGGTGCTGACGAGAATGTTCTGAGGCTTTATGTCGCGGTGAAGTAGTTGAATGGTGTGGCACGCACAAAGGCCATCCAAGATGTTCGCGGAGTAGAGTCTAACTTAGTAACTTCAATCGACATGCGCCCGGAACTCTGCTTCAACACCATGCGGACCAAAAATCGAAGACCATCCGAATGTCGTAGCGACCCACATGTACATCGAGCAGCCGGTGTTGCATTATCAGGTAGTCACCACACAAGCCGTGTCCTCGTCCCTCATGCAGTGCACGGAGACCCGTATGTCTCGCAATGATCTTCTGGCCGGCAAAGTGAATCGCTGATTCGCTCTGGGCGACTTGCCCGTCCTGCTTCACGGCCGCCAGGACAATCTCCCTGTCGCCCTTGGCTTGCATCGAGAAACTCCAGAAGTAGTCCTTGATGACTCAAAGCAGCATCGGCTGTCGACCGGTCCCCCCAGATTTGCTGGCAGCAGTCCTCGGCACCCTCCACATTCTTCAGCACACAGGCAATCATGAGCTGAACCAGAGGATCAGGGTGAGAGAGCAGTCAGTTCAGCATCTCCACTGTCTCGTGGCCAAATCGTGGGCCTAGCTCCATCGGATTGCAGCTCGCTTGACATCCCAAACAGAGTCGTTGAGCATCGAGACGACCTTGCGGAAGATCTTTGAAGCCTCATTCCCGGCGCCTCAAAGACGCTGTGGTTGAGGGACTCAAGGGCCGCTACTCGTCGGGTGGCATCACCCCGGCACTCCAGCATTGCGAGGAACTGGGGCAAGTCCAGGCTTGTTGGGGCTTCGGGAATCCTCTCCTCCGAAGCAGAAAGCTCGGCTGATGCATTCCTCGCTGGAAGACTCATCTTGTAGTGACTTGCGGCCGGGGACCCCCACGAGCAACGAAATGCACGGGAGGCCTTTCGACCTTGTCGCAAGGCTCGACTTGTACACTAAGCCTGCTGGGCCTGAACGGCTTTTTCGGGTACTTTCAATTTCTGGAAACACTCAGCGCTTGGGAGAATGCTAGTGCTGCTAGGACAATCTTGGACAAGACCAAACTGCTCTTGCAGGGCCTCGCGCAATGGAAGTGCCCGGGCTGTCGAAGGCCTCATTGTAGCAAATGGTGCTTTGTTTGGTCTTCCGACGGCTTTGTTTTTCGTTTCAGGGGTGTTGAAGGGTGTATGAAGTTCTGGGCTTGAAAAGACGATCACACAGACTTCGCACACAAAGGTTCTGCAACCGCCAGGGCGCGGGGTTCTGCCACGCTCAGCCTTTTCATGGCCGACTGTTGACCCCATTAATTAATGGCTCAATTTGTGCTGTGGTGAACGGCACACATGGAACCTCGCGTGTGATGAGCGCACCGTGGGAAATAGCTTGTGTGACGGAGAAGGATGTGAATTCTTGATGCTCGATAGACGTAACCCTGCAGAAGTTGGGTCTCACAGAAAAAGTTAAAAAAAAAAACCGTCTTCGACTGTCTGGGGCAGGCTTGGGAGGATCCCGTTTTGACATTCTTTGTGTTTGGGGGAGAGGGGGGGGGTACCTCCTACATTGCTTCCCAAAAAAAACCCTGAGGGCCTCAACCCCGCGAAGCCCCCTAAGGAGGCCCTGGCTTCTTTTCCTTGTAGACGAGTGTAGGGTTTAGGGTTTAGGGTTTAGGGTTTAGGGTTTAGGGTTTAGGGTTTAGGGTTTAGGGTTTAGGGTTTAGGGTTTAGGGTTTAGGGTTTAGGGTTTAGGGTTTAGGGTTTAGGGTTTAGGGTTTAGGGTTTAGGGTTTAGGGTATGAGGTGAGGCCGAAGCTTGTGTGGATTGCGTGACCGCAGAAAACCCTCAATCCAAAGCAAGGGCCCCCGGGCGGCAATGCGGCGCTCCAGGCGGCGGATCTGCTTCTCTAGCTGGGAGGCCTCGAACTCCTCAGGAAAGAAGGTTTGGAGGTTTAGGGGTTTGAGTTGTTTGGGGCCTTCGGGTTTAGGGTTTAGGGCTTCGGGTTTCGGGTTTGGGGTTTAGGGGTTTAGGATGTAAGGGTTCTAAGGCCTCAGGGGCTTTAAGGTTGAGGTTGGGGGCTTCGACGTGCTTAGAGGCCACCCCACGCCTGATTCTTTGCGCTGAGAAGCATCAGAGTACTGTCTTGACGCCTTGAGCCACCCTGAACACTAAACCCTAAACCCTAAACCCTAAACCCTAGACAAACCCCCGAACCCCAAGTTCTGCTCCCTGCAACATGCAAAAAGCGCGCGGCCTTATCGGCCGCTTGAGCCCGCAGTCGGGAGACCTCCGACATGGCGCAGGCAAGACTTTGCACGTGTAGGTTTAGGGTTTGGGGTTTGGGGTTTGAGGCTTGGGGTTTGCAGTTTCGGGTTTTTGGGTGTCGGGTTTGTCCCTACATACATACAGACAGACAGACATAAACACATATATATTATATATCACTCAGCCGCTGACGTGGTAAAGGAGATCCGAAAAAACACAGAGACATAAAATATCTATGTATGTACATATATACTTGTGCGCGAATGCCTATGTGTATGTAAATGTGCGCGCGGATGCGGCTGCAAGCCTCTACTTGCACATACAATGTGCGCGCGGGCTCCATCTACATCCATATCTTGGGATGTTCCCCCGCACAAGAAAAAGTCCTCAATAGGGACTATAATTCAGGTGCGGATTGACCCTCGGAAGCGCTGACTGACAGGGATTATAATAGGGGGTACGATACTCCCTGTGAAGGACTGCTAGTATAAGGGGGAACATCCCAATCCATAGCGAAATCCCCCGAAGCAAGGGCCAACAAAAAACAAGGATCATTACCCTAAACCCTAAACCCTAAACCGTAAACATTCGTCACTTGAGCTCCAGAAGTGGAGCGCTCCAGAAGGGTCTACAACGTCTCAAAGAACACCGAACTTCGGGGGTTTCCTCTGACGAAGGACCTGAGGTGCCGTAAGGGACCGGCTCTCGTTGCCTTATCGTTGCGCTTACAGCGCTGGTTTAGGGTTTAGGGTTTAGGGTTTAGGGGTTTAGGGGTTTAGGGTTTAGGGTTTAGGGTTTAGGGTTTAGGGGTTTAGGGCTTTAGGGTTTATTTCAACCGCAAGCTCCCTTCAGAAGGTCCGAGATCGCCTAGAAACGTGCGCACTTCGAAATCGGGTGCGGGGGGGGGGGGGGGGGGCGGGCGCTTTCTCATAGGACTCGAAAGGCGACTCATAGTCCTGTATGACCAGGACCAGAAGTTTCCACCAAAATAAAAAAAGGTGGTCCTTTAGAAAAGCAGCCTGAACCCTATGTACACCCTCAACATAGGTGCAACATGCGCCCCGAATCTTGTCCCTGGGGATGCCATATTGCTATATGCTATATGAATATATTGCAATATTGTAATACGATGATATTACTGTACGGGGATTTCCGAACATAGGGTACCCCTTATACACCCTAAAATATTGCATAATCCTTTTTGGAACCCCCCAGAAGGGTACCCCTATTTTCGAAAACCCACAAACTACTATATCATCGTATTTCTACATTACAGCCTCACCTCGGCCGCTGCCGCTTTGGTGGTCTCACTGAGGCGGGCGATCTCGGCCTCCTCGCAGACAGCGCTTCCCAATTTTCAAAACTCCCATTCAGATTCACAGAGAGTGTAGGGGCCTAAACCCTAAACCCTACACTCTAAACCCTGCGGGAGAGGACTCTACCAAAACACGGGAGGAATGCCTGTCCTCTCCTCTCCTCGAAGTCCTTGAATCCAAAACAGGGTTTGGGCGGTTTGGGGTTTACGGGTTGGAGAGTTTTAAGGTTTTTTGGGTTTACCCTAAACCCCAAAACCTGAACCCTGAACCCGAAAACATGTCAAAACACTGCGATTGTATTCCCAAAGAGCCCAATACCCCTTAATTAAGGAATATACCTTAAATCATATTAAGGATCCCTTTATAAGTTAAGGTACATTGCTTAATTAAGGGGTATTGGGCTCTTTGGGCTGTATCTCCAACAGGGTCTTCTGTGGCCTCGAAGCCCTCACGCGGAAGCTCCCCGCCTCGCCCCCCAAGGCGTATCCGCCGGCCATGGCTCAATGTGCCCCCAACATAGGGTTTAGGATTTAGGGTTTAGGGTTTAGGGTTTAGGGTTTAGGGTTTAGGGTTTAGGGTTTAGGGTTTAGGGCCTAGGGCTTAGGGCTTAGGACCTAGGGCCTTGGGGAATATACATCTCAACCACGAGCGATTCCCCAACAGAGCGGCTCTTCAACCTGGCACTATCAATAGGGACTCCTTCTGTTGCATGAAGGTAGACTTCTTGTTTAAAGGGGTGGTATTGAGCCAGCGCTCTGGAAGGTGATGCTGGAGAAATTATACAAAAATAAAAATGTAAGTTTGAATACGCAAGTTTGAATACATATATACACACATACATAAACTAGACATGCATGTCTATATATGGTCTCAGGCTGCCACGCCCTCCCCCCCCCCCCCCATCCCCCCATCCTCCCTTGAATCCCTACCCCCACGCCTCCCCCCCCCTGTGTTGGGTGTTGTTGGGGAGGTCGGGTTTAAGGTTAAGGTTTAGGGCCTACCCGCGGCCCCCCCCCCCCCGTGGTGTGGGTGTGGTTGGGGGTTAAGGTTCGGGGTTTAGGGTCTAAGGTTTAGGCCGTGGTGTGATTGAAGCTTGCTACCCCTGTGGTTTGGGTGTGGTTCGGGGGGTTAGGGTTTAGGGTTTCAGGTTTAGGGCTTACATAAGTTTAGGGTTTAAGGTTTAGCCCCACCTGCCTGTGCTGTGAATGGGGAATGGCGTTTGGGGTTGAAGGTTTACGTTTTAGGTTGAGGGTGCGAGGTTTAAGGTTGGTTTAAGGTTTAGGGGAGAGGTTTGGGGGGGGATGGGGAGGGGGGGTTGATCAGAAATACCTTGAAAGGGGAGATACCATGGAGGGGGGGGTGTACCATGGGGGGGGTGGGGGGCCGGGAGCCCGAGTACATATATATATATATATATATGACCATATATATATATGCAAATGTACATGCGCGGTTCTTGCTATTTGTAGAGAAAACCTTTAGCCTCCGGTTTCCGAGAGTTTAGGGCTTTAAGAACGAGTTCTTGGGTGTTGAGGCTTTGGGGCTCTACGGATTCTGTTCTATTTGCCTTTTTTTTCTCTTTGGGGGTGGGGAGGGGGGGTTAAGGCTCTAGGTTTGCGGGCTACGGCTTTCGCAGGCTGCCGCTTCACTGTTTCACTTAGCCAGAACGGGCTCTTGGCCTCCTCGATTGCGAGAAGCCTCTGGGCTGGGAGCCAAGGAGGCAGAAGAAGTCAAGCTGAAGCACAGCACGATGAATCCGCTCATCACAGAAGAGCTCAGCACGAAGACGCCATCGTGTGGCGTGAATACATAAGCGTAGACATAGATACACATACCTCTACACTGACATACACGTCTACAAAAACACATTTGCATATCTAGAGAGAGACAGAGAAAGGCAGAGAGAGAGAGAGAGACAGAGAGAGAGAGAGAGATGGAGCGAGAGGACAAAAAAAAACAGATACTGACATTGATACTGACTCTACCTTCTGGTCCCCATCTTGGGCACCTCGAAACAACGGGTCCGTATTTCTGAGAATGAGGAAAAAAACTCATAATGATGGTAATAAGAAGTAGAACAATGCATGTTATTCTGAATCTGAGACCATGCAGCAAGAATCATCGGTACCCCAATAAGGACCCACAAGCAAAGAGACAGAGCAACTACAGCATTGACATAGGGAGACTTTACGCAGGGCCTCTAGGGCTAGACTTAGGGTTGAGGGTTTAAGGTTTTAGGTTTAGGGTTTTAAGCGTTTAGGGTGGAGAAGCCGTGTTCCGCGGGGGATCTGCCACTCTGCCTCCTCATACATCAGCTGACGACGCGCATGCCACAATATCATAGAACACCCCAGAAAGGCCCACAGATCCGACCCTCATGTACACCCCTAATGCCACCCAGTTGCCCAGCCGAAGCCCTAGACCCTAAACCCAAAATCCCGAAACCCTAAACCCGAAACCCTCATTGAGTGGCACAAAACCTAAACCCTGAAACCCTAAACCCGAAACCCGAATTAAGTGGGCCTGAACCCGAAACCCCAAACCCCAAACCCCAAACCCTACACCCTAAACCCCAAACCCTCCCCCCGCCGCGACTTCTTTCTCAGAGCTGCTGAAACCGGTCGCTGGTGATCCAAATGGTGCATCGCCAGGGCTCGGCACGCACCACCTCCTTTCAGTCTTTGGGGTGCTCTTACGGTTTAGGGATTTCAGGGTTTCAGGGTTTCAGGGTTTCAGGGTTTCAGGGTTTCAGGGTTTCAGGGTTTCAGGGTTTCAGGGTTTCAGGGTTTCAGGGTTTCAGGGTTTCAGGGTTTCAGGGTTTCAGGGTTTAGGGTTTAGGGTTGACGGTTTAGGGCTTAGGGTGGTTTAGGGTTTTGGGGTCTCAGGTTTAGGGTTTAGGGTTTAGGGTTTAGACTTCAGGGTTTAGGGTTGAGGGTCCCCGAACCCTAAACCCTAAACCCTAAAACCTAAACCCTTTCGAACCCTAAACCCTAAAACCTAAACGCTTTCGGGTTTAGGGCTCAAACCTCTGGAGGGAACTCAGGGAGAGCGTTGCGGAAGGGTGCGTCCCCCAGCTCATGCTGCGAAACGCCCTTTGAACCCCACGAGTTCATTTGAGGGTTCCTGCTTGAGGGTTTAGGGTTTAGGGTTTGGAGTTTAGGGTTTCGGGTTTAACCCTAAACCCTAAACGAGTTCCCCTAAACCCTGAACCAAGTCCCCTAAGCCCTGAAACCTCGAAGCCCAAGGCCAAGACATGATTGCCGGGCCTGGAACCACTTGCGGTCGTCCGAGACCTTTGGCTTAAAGCTTAGGGTTTAGGATGTATAGGGCTTAGGGTTTAGGGTTTGAGGCTTCGGGGCTGATGATTGCTTAACGCCTAGGGCTACTTGGGTGATTTTGTGCTGTTCGGGTTGGGGGGGTCAGGGGGTCTGTCCGACTCGCTCACCCCCGCCGTGCTTGCAGGTCAACTGCAAGGGTGGCTTGGTGGGGGGGTTTAGGGTTGTGGGTTTCGGGATTCGGGGTTTGTTGTCCTATGGGTTTTGGAGGAGCCGAACTCCATCTTAAGAGCCTGGTTTAGGGTTGAGCATTTGAGGGTTTAGGCACCTCAAACCCAGTGCAAAGGACTCGTCTGAAGCCACGCTGCAAGGTAGTTCTTCGTGCCCGCATAGCGGCCAAAAAGGTAGGTGAGTAGCACATCCGCAGCATTCCTCAGCAAGGTCGATCTTGGGGTTCGGGAGCTGCCCAAGAAGAGCAAGGGTCCCCACCCACCTTAAACTTGTTAGGGCATCGTGTATGCGCCCAGTTTATCTGGAGGGGGGGGGGGTGTCCCGAATACAACTGGGCCCTCCTTTGGGGTTGCTGGTTCTCCTCCATTTTCTTTGCAGAGCTCGCAGGCCCCTGCAACGAAGCCCCCAAAGCTGCCAAGCTTCTCCGCACCGGTCCTCGGAGGTCCAGGTTCTGCTCAGAAGGGTCTTCGGAACTGAGGGATGTTGTTGCTTTCAGGGTTTGGGGGGGAAAACCTTAACCCTAGACCCAAAACCCTAAACCCTAAACCCTAAACCCTAAACCCTAAACTGTTCGGTTGAGGCTATCGGGCTCAGGGCCCCGGCACCGGGTTGTTTGGGGTTTAGGGTGCGGGGCTCGGTGCTTAGGATGCTTTAGGTTTGGGGTTTAGGGTTTAGGGTTTAGGGTTTATGGTTTAGGGTTTAGGGTTTAGGGATTAGGGATTAGGGTCTAGGGTTCAGGGTTGAAGGTTTTGCTGCTGAGGGGCGCCGTGGGCAGAAGGAGCAGCCGGGATTCTTCGATACCGCAGTTCACAAGTTCGCTTCGGAGGCGGTGTTCACGTGAAGCGGGCGCCTCCGAGAAGTTTAGGCGGGTTTAGGGTTTGGGGTTTGGGGTTTGGGGTTTAGGGTTTAGGGTTGAGGGTTTAGAATTTAGGTTTTAGGGTTCAGGGTTCAGGGTTACAGCGCTTCGGGGGTGTCTACGGAGGCACCTGACTAACCCCCTCATGCCCCCCGGCGCATGTCCCAACATAGAAATCCTCCTACAGCCCCAGCCCCCAACCCTAAACACTAGCTTATATTCTTCCATAGAAGTGGCAGCCCTAAACCCTAAACCCTAAACCTTAAACCGTAAACCCTGTTACCAAAAAATCCTGAGGCCACGGGATGCAAACGACACAGCGAGATGGATCGACCAGATCTGTTGCGAGAAAAATGCATCTCGCAATTGGGATTCCGGGTTTAGGGATTTAAATTTGGGCTTTAGGGTTCAGGGGTTTAAGGATTCAGGGTTTAGGAATCTGGGTCATGGTTATTCTTAAACGTCATTCCTCTCTCAATGCACGACGAGGGTTGCGCAGAAGACAGCTCTTATGTTCAACCCTTCTTGGGTCCTTCATTGTTCGGCATACTCAACGACCGTTGTCACAACATCTGCTACTTCTCTCTTCCCAGGCCTCCAAAACAACCTGAGAGCCCCGAAGCCACCAAAGTCCAAAAAGATGTCCCAAAGCCCTCACATCCCGCCCACCCCGGCACCCCACGCAACAAGGGGGGGGGGGGGGGGGGGGGGGGGGGGGGGGGGGGGGGGGGGGGGGGGGGGGGGGGTTTGGGGTTTAAGGGTTCTGCGTTCAAGGTGTGAGGGTTTAGGGCCCTCGCCCCAAAAGCTGCGGGTCCTCCACCCTCGCCGTAGCCGAGCTGCCCTTGATCGCCTCAACACAACTGCAAGCAGATTTGGGGTGACCGGAGCGTGTATAGAAACATATACAAAATCAGCCCATATAGGTTTCAAGCCGAGATCTGTCCGCTGTGCTTTTGCTGATTTGCTGTTTTGTCAAAATATCAACACAGCGGATACAGATCGACTTTTTCATAACAAACATGGAGTCACTCGAGATGTTAAAGTGTTCTTTTCTGATATGTCTGCGACATTTTAAGTGCACAACCGAAAACAGACAGGTTCTATAGATGCCCATAGACGGTGCCACATAACTGCTGCTGCTACCACCCGCTACCATTTTTTGGTTTGGCTAAGTTCACAGACTATCCCACACACACACACACAAGCTTCTAGGGAAGGGCGAAGCGATCCGAACATGTAGTTGCATCTAGCCTTTGATTCAAGAGTTGAGTATTTACTACTATTTGCTTCAGGACCCAAAAAACAGAGAGAACAAAAAGCAAAAACTCCCCTTATTGCCCTTACAGGGAAGAATATGTTGTGCTTTTGGGGGTTCTTAGGCAAACAGTAGTTTATTGTGTGGCCCACCTTGGGCGCATAATCGTTGATACTCTTAGATTTGGGTCGTACGAGTTGCATGAAAATGATAGAAAGAACATGGCACCATAGGTTTCCAACAACAAAGATGCAGCTACTGCAGCTGGTAGAGTTAAGCGTGTTCCCGGCAGTATTGCATTCGACTGCCCACCAATTTCAAAAGAAAACAAACAACATCTTTTACAACATCCCCACCTTGCAGAGAATCATGTTGAGGAGTATATGTCTATAATTTTAAAGCTTTACAATATTACTAACGTTAAGAGTTGCATCGTGTTTCGCATATTGTTATTTGTCACATGAAGCATGTTTCAATTTATCTATACCATCTTGTCTTGGTTTAGTTTATGACTCAGACATGGGGGAAGGCGAATGTAATTCGGCTAATGGCAACCATGTTAACTGTACTCTTTTTCGGGTGACCCCTTAAGCTCAGAAGTCTTCTACGGATGGTTTAAACCCATTATATCGCAATTTATGGCAAGTTCTACTAGCTGTAGCACGTGTATGCATTTTCCTGGATGCAATAGGGACGGGAATAGGCTTAGCAAATACGACTGAGCGTACAATTTCATTGTCGAATTATGCGGGAATTATGAGGAGGCCAACATTCATCAAAGATTCGGCATGAAATACACTGGCTTGCCTTTGGAGAAAGTTTTCGGGAACTCTTGAAGACAGAACATAAATGAGCGTTGTTTCCAGGAGTTCCCGATGTTTTTTGTTTTGGGTTTTTTTGGGGTTTTGGGCTTTTGTTGGTTGTTTGTTGCTTGGTTCTTTGGTTTTTGGTTCTGGTCTTGTTGGTTGTTTGGCGTTGGTTTTTGCATTGTACTTTTCTTTGTTTTGCTTATACTCGATTATAAAAGAGCAAAAACGCAGCGGACAGCTTTCGGCCCTCAAACCATATAGATATGTGTGTATATATATATATACATATATATAAGTATACATATATATATATATATATACATATATATATATATATATACATATACATATATATGGTCACCCCCCCCCCCCATGATCTAGGTTTTGCTTTGTCTCTATAAAAACCCTCGTAAATACCGATTAAAATGACATGCTGGCTATGCTAGGCGATGTCCTGTTTTTGCACGTCTAGTCCTATGCGAGAAAACCTGTAAATAGTGAAAAACGCGTGTGTTTAGCACTACTTCCACATCACCACATAAAAAAACACCCCAAAAACACAGGAAAATGCAATTTGGTAAACATGTCTATGAATTATTTGCATAGGACAGGCTTATAAACACAGAATTGTATGCAAAAAACACTTCTTTTTTGCAGAATTTGCAAATTTTGACACAAATCCAAAAATCCAAAAATCCAAAAATTCAAAACCATGGAGCCGGGAGGCCGCCTTTTTTGGATTTTTTGGTTTTCTCGAGGTTTTTTTGGTTTTTTTTGGAAAAATCCAAAAAAAACCATGTGTTTTTTTGGATTTTACTTGCTCCTGGCCTCAAAAACCTAAAAAACACATGGTTTTTTTTTGGATTTTGAGTGAAAATCCAAAAAAACCCTCGTGTTTTTTTGGATTTCAGGTGCTCCTGGTCTCAGAAACTAAAAAAACACGAGGGTTTTTTTGGATTTTCACTCAAAATCCAAAAAAAACCATGTGTTTTTTAGGTTTTTGAGGCCAGGAGCAAGTAAAATCCAAAAAAAACCATGGTTTTTTTTGGATTTTTCCAAAAAAAACCAAAAAAACCTCGAGAAAACCAAAAAATCCAAAAAAGGCGGCCTCCCGGCTCCATGGTTTTGAATTTTTGGATTTTTGGATTTTTGGATTTTTGGGTTTTTTTTTAAGCAAATTTTGCAAAAAATACTTTTCTTGTATAAAGAATGTGTATTGTTATACGTTGTTTCTGCTAATGTGACTGCCTTGCACACACACAGAGAAAAGCACACAAACACACCCACCATTCGTTTTTTTTCAATTCAGCCTATTCGGTATGCAGGGCGTGGCGTTAACATGTAAAGTTCCATTAGATTTAATTACGAATGAGGCTTAAAAGAGGATGTCTTGGGATGTGGCGTCTTAATATGAAAAGTAATAAAAAAAAGAAATAGAGAGGGTTTCTTAGGGTGTGGTTCTTTTGAGGATGTGGACCTGCAATTCAAAAGTCTAATTGGACTTAAAAAAGAGTGGGGCTTCGAAGAGGATGTCTTGGGGTGTGGCCTCTTAATTTAAACGTCTATTTAAGTGGAATCACAAAGGAAGTCCAGTTGAGGATTTCTTAGGGTGTGGTGTTTTAGTGCAAACCTCAAATTACATTTCATTACGAAGCGGGGCCAGAGGAGACTTTCACAGGGTGTGGTCGGTAAAATGAAATTCCAAAGAGGTAGTAACGAATGAGGCTTAGAAGGGCGTGGCCTCTTAATTGTTTTACTTGGTTTGGTTTTACGAACGAAGCTGTTGCTTTACCATACACAGGTCTTAGGGTGTGGCCTTTTAAATTCTGTCCAAAGGGGTGTGGCCTCTAAACTTAAAATTCAATTTAAGTGGAATTCCAAACGAGTCCAGATGAGGATTTCTTAGGGTGTGGCGTTTTAATACAAACCTCAAATAACATTGTAGTATGAAGCGAGGCCAGGGGAGAATTTCATAGGGTGTGGTCTGCAAAATAGAATTCCAAATAGGTATTAACCAATGAAGCTTAGAAGAGGATGTCTTGTGGCGGGGCCTCTTAATTTGTTTGTTTGACTTGGGTTTAATTTACTAACGAAGCTATGGCTTTATCATATACAAGTCTATTGACATTTCACTAATAGGCACCAGAAGAGGATTTCATAGGGCCTAGCGGTTAAATATGGAATTGTAAGTACATTCAAATACAAATGGGGGCTCATGATATAAATTTCTGTCCAAGAGTTACATACGAACCTAGCCTAGGTCACAACTTCTTAGGGTGTGGGCTTCTTACCTAGAATTGTAAACTTCTTACGAGATTCTGTTACGAACAGGCCCCAGAATGGTGTGGCTTTTTTTAATACAAGCATCTTGGCAAATCGAAAATAAGTCTAATTACAAACGAAGGTCTAATGAGGATTTCTTGGCGTGTGGCTTTGTAATTTTTTTTTATAATTAATCTTCATTACAAATAGGGGCCAGAAAGGGATTTCATAGGGTATGGTCTGCAATATAGAATTCTAACTCGGTTTCATTGCGAGGAGGAGGTCCTGGGGTTGGCCTCTGAATATACACTTGCTTTACTTGGGTTCAATTACGAACGAAGCCCAGAAGAGGATTTCTTAGGGTGTGGGCTTACAATATGAAATCAAATTGCGTTTCATTACGAATGGGGCCAGCGAAAGATTTCACAAGGTGTGGGAAAAACAAAAATGTTCTAAATAGGTATTAATCAATGAGGCTTAGAAGAGGATGTCTTGGGGCTGGGCCTCTTAATATTTTTTTACTTGGGTTAATTACGAACGAAGCTGTGGCTTTATCAGACACAAGTCTACTGAAATTTCATTAAGAGGGCCCAGAAGAGGATTTCATAGGGTGTGGCCTTTAAGTATAGAATTCTTTTCGTAGGGTGTGGGCTTCTTATGTAGAAGCATTTTCTCAATAAAATAGGAAGGAAGCCCAGATGAGGATTTCTGAGGCTGTAACCTCTGCATATAAAGCTCTTGTGAGATTTTGTTACGGACAGGCAGGCCCCAGAAGAGGATTTCATAGGGTGCGGCTTTTAATTGGCAAATTTAGATTTCTAAAAAAAGTTTTACTACGAATGAGGCCAGTGGCCTTTCAATTTTCATTCCGACTTAGGTTTAAATCTCGCTTCGATGGGCCCGAAAGGCCTTTCGACCTAGATCATGGGGGGGGGGGGGTGAGCTTATATATATATATATATGTGTATGGTTCGGGTTTAGGAGTTAGGGCTTTTCTGCACATACATATATATATATACATATACATATACATATACATATACATATACATATATATATACGACTCTGAAAGAACAAAAGCCGCCGGACCCTGCACTGAGGAAGATCCACCCTCCCACTCGAAAGCCTTCAACAAAAGATCACCAGCAAGGCACGGGCTCACTGAAGGTTTAGGGTTTAGGGTTTAGGGTTTAGGGTTTAGGGTTTGGGGTTTGGGGTTTAGGGTTTAGGGTTTAGGGTTTGGGGTTTGGGGTTTGGGGTTTGGGGTTTGGGGTTTGGGGTTTGGGGTTTGGGGTTTGGGGTTTGGGGTTTGGGGTTTAGGGGTTGGGGGGGGGTGGGCTTTTTTTTCAGAGGGGGTCCCTGAGGATGTCTTAGGGGTGCGGAAGAAAGTTTGAGGGGCTTTCGTTAGGGAGTTTGGGGTTTTAGGGACTCTTCGCCGTCTTTGCTTCAGTGCTTCGGGTCAGACCCCCAACTAAAGAGTTTGAGGCTTTCATGTCTTAGCACGGCAAGTACATGGTGAACATGAAACCCTAAACCCTAAACCCTAAACCCTAAACCCCTGAAATCCGGGGCGCAGCGAACACTGCCAGCTCCGATTGGTTGCGCAGAGCCCGGATGTAGGGGAAGAAACTGGGGGGAACGCAGTCGCCGTCGATGAAGATCTGCGCAAGCCACTTCAGCGGGTTAGAGGGTATCTTTGCCTGCAGATTCCGCATTGCATGAAAAACACCGGCGCGGGCAATAGTACTTACATGTTCTGAAGAGGGGAGGAGGCACCTTTTCTTCCACTCTACAACCCTTTCAAGTCTCGATGCTGGGACGCAAGAAACCCTTAAACCCCCTCCTACAAAGCCCTGAGCCCTAAAGACTCTAAGCCTCCAAGCCTCTAAACTTTCCGAACCCAAAGCCCCCACCCCTCCCCGCATTGGAGTTCAGGGTTTAGGGTTTAGGCTTTAAGGTTTAGGGTTTAGGGTTTAGGCTTTAAGGTTTAGGGTTTAAGGTTTAGGGTTTAGGGTTTAAGGTTTGCGGTTTAGGCTTCCCACCCGCTCCACGTTGGGCGTGAGGCAAGCCTCGTCGAAGCGATTGAGCCTGATTGATGGTTTCATTATTTCATCATATACCCGCTTGGGATGCTCCCCCTTATACTAATAGTCCTTGATAGGGATCCCTATTAAGGACTGATAGTCTAACGGGAGCATTTGAAGTATAGCGGGTACCTCCCGGAAACCTCAAGCCCTTAACCACATTAGCCCTCAACCCCTTCGAGCCCTATGACCCAAAACCCTAAACCCTAAACCCTAAACCCTAAAGCCTAAACCAACTTCCTCAGCCTTTAGACCTCTCAATTTTTTGGGCTTAGGGGGTCAAAGGTCCTCAAGATCCTGGGAGTCGGATACACGCGCAAGGCTCCCAGACTGACTGCGGACACATGAGGGCTCAAGGGGGCTTTTAGGGACTCTCGGGTTCTTGACGGGTTGAAGGGCCCCCGCCCTCCCCCCCTAAACCCTAAACCCCAAACCCCAAACCCTAAACCCCAAACCCCAAACCCTAAACCCCAAACCCTAAACCCTGAACCCCAAAGAAAGAAAGGAAAAACACCAGCAAATCTCCCAGAGCCCAAGCCAAGAACCCTACCTAGTTGTCCAGCACCTCGGGGAACTACAGGTCGACCTTGGGATTATGAGGGGAGTATTTTGCCCTAAACCCTAAACCCTAAACCCTAAACCCTAAACCCTACACCCTACACCCTAAACCCTAAACCCTAAACCCAAAACCCAAAACCCAAAACCCAAAACCCTAAACCCTAAACCCTAAACCCTAAACCCTAAACCAAGCCGAAAACCAAGCTCACCTCCCGGAGCTCGCCAGGCCAAAGGCGCTCCTGCGCTTTCGGATCCGAGGAAGCGTTCTCTTCGCCGACAGTCGGAGGCGTAGCTAGGGTTTAGGGTTTAGGGTTTCGGGTTTAGGGCTTCGGGTTTCGGGTTTAGGGTTTCGGGTTTGGGGTTTAGTAGGGTTTTGGGTTTAGGGTTTTAGGTTTTGGGTTTTGGGGTTTTTAAGGGTTCTTTTGCCCTTCTTTGCCAAGCCCTGTAAGCCGTGTAGGGCCCTAAACCCCAAAACCAAGGCTTTAAGGCTTGAAGGGGGCTTAGAGGGGTGTAAAGGGTGTAGGCAATCTGGGGCCTCAAGGGCTGTTAAGGAGCTTTGTTTTCAATACCACAAGTTGGAGGAAGAGAGAGAGAGAGAGAGAGAGCGAGAGAGCGAGAGAGCGAGAGAGCGAGAGAGCGAGAGTTCGAGAGAGCGAGAGTTCGAGAGAGCGAGAGAGAGCGAGAGAGCGAGAGTTCGAGAGAGCGAGAGAGAGCGAGAGAGAGAGAGAGAGAGAGAGAGCGAGAGAGAGAGAGAGAGACAGAGACAGAGAGACCTCTACATATATATATATATATACATGTCAATGCATCTATACATATATATATATATACATAAACATATATATTAAAAAGGGATAGGCAGAACCTGAGATCGAAAGGGAAAGGAAGAAAGATGTATGCTTTCCTTCCCGTGGTAACTCAATGTTTAAGCTCATGGACAGCAACCCCAGCCTCAAACCCCTCAACCCCCACCCCCCCTCCCCTCGCCCCCCCCAAAAAAAACCTAAACCCTAAACCCTAAACCCTAAACCCTAAACCCTAAACCCTACACCAGCTTCCTTGCCCACGTGTCCCGAGCCCAAGCACCGCCAAGACCAGGGAGACCATGGCAAGGAGGAGCCACCGCCGTCCAGGCCATGGGCTCCGGGCACCTGCGGGGGGCTTACGGGGCTGTTTAGGGTTTAGGGCTTAGGGCTTAGGGCTTAGGGTTTAGGGTTTAGGGTTTAGGGTTTAGGGTTTAGGGTTTAGGGTTTAGGGTTTAGGGTTTAGGGTTGGCTTCGAAGGGGGCTTTAGGGGGTTTAAGGGGGCTTTAAGGAGTTTAAGGGGTTTAGGTTAGGGATACTAAAAATAGGAGGGTTCAGGGCTTGGGGGGTGTAGGGCTTCGGGTTTAGGGTTCAGGGGCACCTGAACCCTAAACCCTAAACCCTGAATCCTAAACCCTAAACCCTACTGGGCTCGTCCTACTCCCAAGGCCTCTCCCTGGTTCTCAAGGTTCTGGGCTCCGGGCAGTATGGTTTATAGGGTCCATAGGGTTTAAGGGTTTTACAGGGTTTCTGGGGTTCATAGGGTTTACAGGTTTAGGACTGAGGGTCTAGGGCCTTGTTGGCGGTGGGGTTGGGAATTGAGGGGTCCAGAGCTTTTTCAAGGTTTGGCAGCGGGCCATGCTTGTGCCCAATGCCCATATCAAGTACCCCGCATCAACGCAATATCGTCCTACAGTAGCAAGTCCTGGTGGTGACTGATGAGGGACACAGAAATCACCATAATCACACTCTGCCAACCTCCCAACTCGCCCGAGTTTTCTCACATGAAACTCCCCCAACGCACCCTCCAAACCCTCCAAACCTGAACGCCTTAAACCCCTTAATCGCCCCCAAAAAACCTCATAAACCGCCTAAACCCTAAACCCCCCTATACCCTAGACCCGAAACTCACTAACCCCCCGAAACCCTACACCCTAACCCCCCGGAACCCTCCTCGAAAGAGAGAGGATCCGCTTCCAGCGCGCGCGGGGCGGCGCAGGGCGTCGCACATCGCGGACATTCTGAGGCTTCGAAGCTGGGGTTTAGGGTTTAGGGTTTAGGGTTTAGGGTTCAGGGTTTGGGGTTTGGGGTTTAGGGTTTAGGGTTTAGGGTTCAGGGTTTGGGGTTTAGGGTTTGGGGTTTGGGGTTTGCGGTTTAGGGTTTGGGGCTTAGGGCTTCCGATGGTTGAGGCTAAGCCCTAAACCCTAAACCCTAAACCCTGGGGCCTTTGGGCTTGCTGGGCACGGCTGAGGGCCCGAAGGACACCAAGCTTGCGCGGGTGGAGAAAGCACTCGAGAGGACCAAAACAAGGAAGGAATAGGGTTTAGGGTTTAGGGTTTAGGGTTTAGGGTTTAGGGTTTAGGGTTTAGGGTTTAGGGTTTAGGGTTTAGGGTTTAGGGTTTAGGGTTAGGGTTTAGGGTTTAGGGTTTAGGGAAGAAAGAGACAGATTGGAAAGGAATAGGGTTTAGGGTTTAGGGTTTAGGGTTTGGGGTTTAGGGTTCAGGGTTTAGGGTTCAGGGTTTGGGGTTTAGGGTTCAGGGTTCAGGGGTTTAGGGGCCTGAAGGAAGGAAGAAGGATGAGAGCCGGGGAGAGATTGGAAAAGAATACGGGAAGCCAGATTCTTGCTACCGAACAGAAGATTGCACACCGACGCAGTGTACCGTTTGGGGGGCTCCAATATTTGGGTTTAGGGTTTAGGGTTAAGGGTTTAGAGTTTAGGGTTTAGGGTTTAGGGTTAAGACGCTTATGTCATGTTCGAATTCAAGCCCTCTCTTCGTGCCCTGAGCGGGAAGGATTCGATAGGAGGCTTAGGGACAACCAACAGGTCCCCTCCTGCTAGCCCTAAACCCTAAACCCTAAACCCTAAACCCTAAACCCTAAACCCTAAACCCTAAACCCTAAACCCTGCATGCAATCCAGGGCCTCGGTCCACCAGACTCTGCGATGAGTAAACCCCTTGCTCTCCCGTGAAAGACAGAGCCACGAAAGCAATGAACATGTAGGGTTTAGGGTTGAGGGTTTAAGGTTTAGGGTTTATAGGGTTTAGGGTTTAGGGTTTAGGGTTTAGGGTTTAGGGTTTAGGGTTTAGGGTATGCCAGTCCAGAACCAGCACAGGATTTGAGAAGGAATGAGTGAACTGGCTCTGCTCTTGTCTGTTGCCTAAACTCTCGGACCCAATGGTAAAAGCAGCAGTATGAGGAGCTCGCTAAGCAACCGCACACATGAGGCAATGCCGTGCAAGCTCCCCTAGCCGAAGACGTGGGGCTGCTCATGAGTCTCGATGTTGAAGGCTCTCAATCGGAGTCCCGAAGTCAACCCGAAGAGAGAACAAAACGAATGAGTTTAGGGTTTCGGGTTTCGGGTTTAGGGTTTAGGGTTTAGGGTTTAGGGTTTAGGGTTTAGGGTTTAGGGTTTAGTGTTTTAGGGTTCTCAAGTAAACAAAACAGAGCATCGAACCAGGGCTTCTTGGAGAAGAGTTGGCAAGTCGGAGCCTACTTTTGTCTTTCAACGTGCGCCAGGGTATAGCTCCGCCCCCCCTCTAAAAAGGGGGGAGGGTTGTAGAGAGAGGGAAGGGTCAGAACATCCCATGAAGGGGATCTCCGCCAAGGAACCAGAAGTAGAAGAGCGTGCCCAAGAATCCATGGTAGAGGCCCAGAGGCAAAACGTTTCGATGGAGCAGATACTCGATGGCCCACGGCACCCCCATCACCCCGGTACCAGCAATCAGCCTCGGTTTTTTTAGGCTCGGGAAGCCAAAACATCCAAAAAAAAATGAGAAGATCCCCCGAAAAAAAACCATCCCACATAATTTTCTCTCCTTGTCCAAACATTCTTTTTGGTCCCCAAGTAGGGGCCATTTGCCCAAGAACTCCCGCAAAACACAAAAACAATAACTCCCCTGCTACACTTATAAGGAAGAATCTTTCTCTATCTTTTGGGGGGGGCCTCTTAAGCAAATCGTAGTCTACTATCCCCATTTTACTTCCCCAAACCCCAAACCCCAAACCCCAAACCCTAAACCCGAAACCCTAAACTCTAAACTCTAAACCCTAAACCCTAAACCCTAAACCCTAAACCCCAAACCCCAAACCCTAAACCCTAAACCCTAAACCCGAAATAGCAGCAGGAGGCCAGGGATCCGGCCAATGGACGAAGGCGAAGGCCGAAACCGAGGCGGCCACGCAGGCCAGGACGCCCAGGAATCCGAGGATCCGGGGCTCCTGCTTTTGGGGTTTAGGGGCTTGGGGTCTACGGGGTTTGGGGTTTAGGGTTTAGGGTTTGGGGTTTAGGGTTTAGGGTTTAGGGTTTGGGGTTTGGGGTTTAGGGTTTAGGGTTTAGGGTTTAGGGTTTAGGGTTTTGGGTTTAGGGTTTAGGGTTTAGGGTTTAGGGTTTAGGGTTTAAGGTTTAGGGTTAGGGCACGAACCTTGTTGATGCTTGGGTTGTTGTTAGGGTCGTTTAGTAGGATGGGTTTTAGTAGGATGGTTTAGGGTTTAGGGTTTAGGGTTGGTGAGGTCCTTTTTTGGGGCTTTGTTTTAGAGTGCTAGAGTCCTTGAGGAAAGCATGGAGAACCGAGTACTCATCCATGCCCGTGATGCACCAGCTCAGGTTTCGCATGAGGAAGGATTGCAGCATCACGTGCTGCAAGACGCCATAGAAGGGGTACAGAAAAAAGATGAGCCACAAGTGCCAGTTGTCGAATCTGATCTCACGGCCTTCAACAGCAGCACCCACGCAGATGAAGACAAGAGCAAAGACAGCGAAGAGGCTCGGAAGGAGGAAGCTCTTCCGTAGATTGGGCTGGTCAACACGAATTCCCCACAGGAAGAGAATCCCAGACCCGTACCGGCAGAACTGAAACCCACACCAGCCGATCCAGACCAGGGCACACGAGGTGATGAAGATCCACACGGGATCTAGAAGCTTCAGAATGAAGATGACTCCGGTCGCCGCTGTGGCAAAGACCTCGAAGCACCTTTCCCAGGGCTTTGGCCGGGGCATGGGCCGCGCCCGCAGCGTGCCCTCACGTGTTGCCCCATTTGCCTCACCCCCACCCTCCGCACCCTCCTTTGCCTTGGGGGCCCCTTCCGCTTCCTCACTTGCAGTGGCCTTCCCGGTCTCGGTGGCCTCGGCCATGCCCCAGGGCAATCTGCCTACGCCTTTAAAGAAGGCAGCGCTCAGAGCCAGGAAGAGCCGCAGGGCTTGCAATCCCAAACCTAAAGCCCTAAGCACCCAGAGAGGCTAGCCCTAGAGTCTAGCCATAAACCCGAAACCCCCAACCCGAAACCCGAAACCCTGAGCCCTGAACCCTGAACCCTAGAGCCGCCACAACGGCTCAACTACCAAACCCTGCGCCGCATTTCCGACATCAGGGCCTCTTCCGGCCAGCGTGTCAGTGGCCCTGGCCAAGAGCCTTGCTCCAATGAAGCTTATGGCTCCGGATTGTTCCTCCTCCCACTCGCCAGTGCGTTAAAGCCGCCGCCCAGCTTTGCCAAGCGTCCGCGTGCACTCCACTCCCAAACAATCCCGCAGAGTCTGGGGCCAACCGTGACAGTATCCTGCGACGAAGTATCCCTGTCCGCAAAAGGCACGAGGGGATGATCAAGGTAAATGATTTGTCTATTCTTTCCCGTGGAATCAGAAACCCTAAACCCTAAACCCTAAACCAGGAAGTTGCTGAATGCTGTCGGTGCCGTCACATGGACGTCTACTCGAGCGTCGCGCCCTTTGAGTGCGAGGCACTGAGGAGTGGCGTGCGCCCGGCAGGTGAAGCTGAGGTGTGAAGGTTTCTGGGGGATTAGAGCCCTAAACCCTAAACCCCAAACCCCGGACCCCAGACAGGGTTGAGGCCGGACGCCGATTCTTTTCCACACTGTGCTTGCGCCGGAGTCTCGCGCTGTCAGTGGAGCTGGAGGAGGTCGTCAAGCCCTTCGCCCCTTTCGCCTCGGAGTTGCCAAAACCCGTCCCCATGTGCTGGCACTGTCTCGGCCCTGAAACTCTCCAGAGAGCCCAATACACCTTAACTAAAGGAAGATGGCGCCTTTTTTTTTGACAGGGCCCTTCTGAATATGAGCTTAAGGGAAACTAGCCCTTAATTGAGGGGTATGGGGCTCTTTGGATCTTACCTTTCTCTCCAGGAGGCGCGATGTGCTCCTCGAGCTCCAGCGCTCCGTACCGGCCCCTGGGGTACACCATGCTCGCGAAGGAGCTTTGTGGAGCAGCAGATGGCCATGTCTCAAAATATATGGGCCCCTTTTTGGGGGCCCCTTTTTGGGGACCCTAAATTTTTCTAAATATTAGGGGGCCGCCGTTTTAGAGAATCCTCCATAGGGATTCCAGTAGTTGACCCGCATAAACCCTCGGCCATCCCGAACTCTGCGACCCGCCCTCAGAACGCAGAAAAGACCAGGAGCAAACTGAAAATGCTAACAACGGACGACTGCAAATGCTGCAAGTAAACACCCACCCACCCACGCCCGCACCCTAAACCCTAAACCCTAAACCCTAAACCCTAAACCCTAAACCCTAAACCCTAAAACCCTGATCCTAAACATTCCTAAACGCTGAACTCACGCACTCGTTCCCAGCCTGCGTGTCGCCGGCCACCTCTGCGCCCGCACGCGCAGGCTCGGCACGTGGCGGAATGCCGCTTTGTCTGGGGCTTGGCTCAGCTACCTCGGGCTCCAAACAAAGAGCCCTCTACCCCTTAATGAAGGAAGATACTTTAATTTATAAAGGGATCTTCAATATGATTGAGGAGGCATATTCCGTAAGACTTGAAGAAAAACGGGCGCACAGAAGATTGTGTGAGACGCGGGCCTCGCTGAGGCCTTCCAGGGCCCTGGGCTGCTGGGGCGGCCCGTGGAAGTCCTCTCGTTCGTGAGAGCATCGAGAAATTGAAGCACGGCTTTCGCCGGGGGATTTGGGGTTTAGGGTTTGGGGTTAGGGTTTAAGGTTTAGGGTTTCGGGTTTAGGGGTTAGGGTTTAGGGTTTAGGGATGTTTAGGGTTTAGGGTTTCGGGGTTGAGGACGGAACACAATAACGGCTTCCGGCTGTCCGTCATGTGCAGGTAGAGGTAGACGGCCTCGTTTGGCTCCTTGCGCTTGAAAGGGGAGCTCACGGTCGAAGACCTGGCCGGGCTCACCCCCTCTCTCTCTCCTTCATAAACCCTAAGCCCTAAGCCCTAAACCCTAAACCCTAAACCCTAAACCCTCTTCTTCGTCTGAAGACTTCTACACAGTCGGGGGGACAGTCTGAACTCTGCCAAAACCTCCCAGACTCCCAGCCTTGAGAGGAGGTACTTCCTCATCTCCCCGGGCAGCCGCAGCACCAATGGATGCGGCAGCTGCCCCTCCACCACCTGAACGGACAAGCAAGCGCGCGACAGCAACGGAAGACTCGAAGACGCCGCAGATACAGCACAGGAACAGCACAACAGCACAGGGCGGTGAGCTGGGCTGGGGGGCCTCCTGGCCGCTTGCCGAGGCCTTCCGCACCTCGCGCGCGTAGCGGCGCAGCGCGGCGTCGATGCCGGCCCAGTCTAGGGGCCGCGCGAAGCGCTTCAGGGTGGGCATGCCCATCCGGACCTGAGAGCAAGAGGTCACAAGTTGCGCCGGCGCAGTGCTTTCGACAGAAGGGCCCGCCTCGGGCTTCGTGGTCTTGCGCACCTCGGGACGCGCGCACCGCGTCAGCTTCGGCCACGACAACTCTTGGGGCCAGGTTTCAGCCCTCAAACAGGCCCCCCCCCATCCCCCCATGATGCCCCCCCATCCCCATGATGCCGGGGAGCAAAGCGGAGGTGGGCCTCCTCGATGTCCATGAGCTCCGTGCTGGCGTTCAGAAGCAAGGTCATCTCCATCAGCTCGTCGAAGCATTGCAGCTGCGTGTCCTTAAGGACACTTGTGGCAAGGTTGCGATGGCCCGATGGCCATGAAGGCCATGAAGGCCCGTAGGCCCTGCACAGACTGCCCCCCAAGAAATGCGCCCAGCGGCGGTGCTGCTGGCTGAAGACGCCGCGGGTGCCCGCCGGGACGCCAGCAGGCCGCTTGGCAACGCCTCATGGGGTGGGATGTGCCTTGGGAGAGGGAGAGGGAGAGGGACGGAGGGAGGAGGGAAAGAGAGGGAGAGAGAGAGAGAGATCGAACAAAAAAACAAAAAAGAGAGTCGTACATCGTCAAGACAGGGATTTCTGGATTCAACTTCACACGATGGCTTGAAGAAAAATAGTGCACATGCACGCATGTAGACGCGTAGACACGTAGACGCGCGCGCCACGACGCACGGCCACGGCAACCGAGGCTCGGCCTGAGACGTCACATCGGCCTCTTCGAGGGGGGCGTTTACTGTGTAGGGTTTCGGGTTTAGGGTTTAGGGTTTAGGGTTTGGGGTTTGGGGTTTAGGGTTTGGGTTTAGGGTTGGCGCGGGGATTCCCAAAGGCTGTGGGGCGCCTCTGAAGGCCCAAAGTTGGCTTGCAACGGTTTGGAATGTGGGCCCAGGGGTTCGGAAGCTTTGAGACTTTAGCTTGGGTATGTATAGGTGCGGCCTTCTTGCATGCGGAACCTCAAACAGCATACACCAAGAGAGGAATCTGCCCAACTGCTGGACCTCCGGCACGAGGCGGGCATGGTTGTCCTCGGTCAGCGCCAGCCTCGGAAATGGAGACTTCAGGTTCGTGTGTGTAGAGCTCTAGTTTTATAGTATTGAGAGTCATAGCAAAAAGGACATTGCAATGTCTGTCGCTGAATCAAAGCTGTCGCATGGACATGCACAAAGATTCAGGGTGCGGTGCAGTGGTGCAGGCGGCGTGGTACAGTGGTGCGGGCTGTGGCGGGGTGCCCCTGCACCCCACTCACTGCACCCCAACTGGCGCGCATCATCTAGCATTACATTTGATGCAATGTTACTCGAAAGGTTCCGCTAATTGGGGTGCAGTGAGTGGGTTGCAGGGTGCAGTCGTGCGGGATGCAGTCGTGCAGAGTGCAGGGTGCAGTGAGCAGGCTGCCATGGGGCAGAGGGTGCCCTGAGGGTACCCTACGCACCCTGCTACCGCACCCTATGCATCCCACGCACCACAGCCGTGCATCCTTGCGTCAGCATGCCAACAGAAAGCATGCCCACGTTGCTTTACGAAGGTTGAATAAGGCGCAAGCACAAACAGCAGCATTGCTGCTCCCTTCAACGTGAACTGCGATTCAAGCATGGATCCTTCAAAATATGCCAAGCCACAGATGGTAGTTTGTGCTCTCCGCGTAGAGGCTGCATGGCAGCGCAACGTGGAAGACGTCGACAGGGACAACCTGACCCGAGGGAGCCTTCAGGGCCACACGCAGGCAGCGTGGTGCTCCTCTGTTCGGTCGAAGGTCCGTCGCGTCCTCGGGCACGGCAGGCACGAGGAATCCATCGAACTGTTGTTGCGCCTCTTCCCCGTCGATGAGATCCCGAAAGCAGCGCCCGGCAAACTCCTCTTGGCTTGCCAGCAGCCGCTGAAGGCACGGCGCGCCGCCGCAGATCCGCAGGTTGCTGTCCACCAGCAGCTCTCCGTCGCAGATGCCTCTGAGCATCTGGCGAAACCCGGAGATTAGGGAGTCAGAGTCCTGCGACTCGAAGAAAGTTTTCACGCAGTCCCGCAGGGTAAACTCCAGCACAAAGGGAAAGACACCGCACACCAAGGTTTGGACATAGACGAGAAACACAAACCACCACTGGTTCAGCGAGCTCTCGCCATAAATTTGTGCTGCAGACCAGATGTAGACAATCGTGTGGAGAAGGGAGTTCACCAGAGTCTTTGCATCCGCTGGAAAAACCAATCCCATCAGCACCTGCCCTGTGAGTATGATGCCGAATCGGCCAGGAAAATCGTCCTTGTTGCCCCACGCGCTGCCGATCCCGACCACTATGTTAACAATGCTGAAGAAAGGCCGCATGCGATGCAGAAGCCAAGGCGTGCAAGGTAGCTGCTTCTTGACAAGGACACCGTACAATAGAAGCACCAGCGACGGGCAACAGAACCAGCTTGCAGAACAGAAGCTGGGTCTGCGCAGGAACTCCAATGCCGACAGCAAGATCATGACCAGCACGGGCGGAACACACAGCCGAAGGAAGGTCATGATCATGCTAAAGCGCACACGGCAAAGTTCCTGCGCGTTGTTTGCACTTCTGAACCTAATATGAACTCTGAGCGCCACTGAGCCCTAAACCCTCATGATACACCACATCTCCGCACCCAAAACTATACTCCCCTTAGAACCTTAATAAACATAACATTTTTAAAATCCTCTTGGGTTTTATATACACAAAACATAATTCCTAAGGGGGATATAGAAAAAACAACAAAAAGGACCAAGGCAGCTCCTCTTCGATTCGCGTGGCCATGGGGCTCAGGCCCTCATCGCCCTTGGACCAAGCTCGCGTGGTGTGGGTCAGGTATGCCAGGTGCCCGATCCGCATCTGCGACGAGGCGGTTTTGGGGTTGAGGGTTTAGGGTTGAGGGTTGAGGGTTTAGGGTTTAGGGTTTGGGGTTTGGGGTTTAGGGTTTAGGGTTCAGGGCTAGTTTGGGAGCGCAGAACTGGGAACCTCTGTAGTGCCTCAGGATGTCTGCTTGGAGGTTCAGGGTACTATTCCGGTACTTAGAAGCTCCCGCAAAGTCCCCTAAGTAGCCTAGAAGTCGACGTGGAGTTGGGGTGATAAGTACCCATGAACCTCCAACCAAACCCCGAAACGAAACAAAAACCAACCCCTAAACCCGAGACCCTAAACCCCAAACCCTAAACCCTAAACCCTAAACCCTAAACCTCCTTTTCTTGGGCACCTGTGCAAGATGCCAGTACCCAACCAACCCAGCCAGGGCTTGGCCCAAGAGGCGTTGCTGGCGATCCATGGCTTGGCGGCTTCGGGTTCCGGGTTTCGGGTTTGGGGTTTAGGGTTTGGGGTTTAGGGTTTAGGGTTTAGGGTTAGGGGTTTGGGGTTTAGGGTTTAGGGTTTAGGTTTTAGGTTTTAAGGGTTTAAGGGATGCGAGTATACACATCAAACTGCTCGTCGCGGGTGGCGTGCGTGTCCTGTGCTGAAGTCTGTCTCCTCACCATCTTGAGCAGACATACACGCCAGGTAAGGCTCATATGGGCCAAGTGCTCTTGCAACCCTAAACCCTAAACCCTCAACCCTAAACCCGAAACCCTAAACCCTAAACCCTAAACCCAACAACTTAGCGCCGAAAGCCAAGGATATGGCTCGTGTCTGACTCAGTTGCCCCACGCATCCTTGGCAACCCCCACTACACCCTAAACCCCAAACCCACCCAAAACCCTAAACCACCTACGGGGCCCTGGACCCTAAGCCCTGAATTTTAAACACTGAGCAAGATTTCATGTGTTAAGGCTTAGGGATTTTAGGGGACAGATGTCACCCCCTGCAAAGGTGCTCACTAAGCCCTAAACCCTGGGTCCTGGGCGAGATGAAGATAAGACTGCGCACAAGAGCCCTAAACCGTAAACCCTAAACACTTAACCCTAAACCCTAAACCCTAAACCCTAAACCCTAAACCCTAAACCCTAAACCCTAAACCCTAAACCCTGAACCCTGCACGAGTTAGATTGAACCCAGCACTACCCTACCACTTGGGGCTTCAGGGTGCTTCGAAGCCCAGTTGCAACGGCGCTTCAGTAAGCCCCCTAAGTCCCCTAAGCAGGAAAAAAGTAGCCTTACAAAGTTGAGCGTCATGAGGTGCCCATGAACCCTAAACCCTAAACCCTAAACACTTAACCCTAAACCCTAAACCCTAAAACCTCCAAGCAGACCCGAAGCCGGTCTTCGAAGCACGCCATTTCTGTTCTGCAAGCGATGCCATGTCACGGGAGGCCCGGGAGGTTCAGCCGGCTGAGGGGGAAACTCCAGCGCGCTGGACGTAGCTGCGGATATCTGGAGTTCGGGTAACCCTAAACCCTAAACCCTAAACCCTGCTCTTCCAGTTCGTGGCGTAGACCCCCGTGACGAGGACAAGGCCCGAGAGAGCACCAGACATGAAGCCCGCCGGCAGGTTGCCCTTTTTGGGTTTAGGGTTTAGGGTTTAGGGCTTAGGGTTTAGGGCTTAGGGCTTAGGGCTTAGGGCTTAGGGCTTAGGGCTTAGGGCTTAGGGCTTAGGGCTTAGGGCTTAGGGCTTAGGGCTTAGGGCTTAGGGCTTAGGGCTTAGGGCTTGGGGCTTGGGGCTTGGGGGCTTATGGGTGTTTGGGGTTTAGGGGTGTAGGGGTGTAGGGGTGTAGGGGTGTAGGGGTGTAGGGGTGTAGGGGTGTAGGGGTGTAGGGGTGTAGGGGTGTAGGGGTGTAGGGGTGTAGGGGCGTAGGGGCGTAGGGGTGTAGGGGTGTAGGGGTGTAGGGGTGTAGGGGTGTAGGCTTCTTTTTTCCTTTTGGGTTGAGGGGGCTTCTGGATTTTGGGGTTTGGGGTTGAGGGGTGTAGGCTCTTTTGTCTTTTTGGGTTTAGGGCCTTCTTGCATTGCTCAAGACTTTTACGAAGCCAAACCTCTGGCTACGCGTGCTGCTATCCTACTTCCCAAGCCTGACAATTGCATGGGCGGGCAGTTTCTCATGGTTCGGAGTCACTTTACTAACCAAGCAGGTCAATAGCTCTAGAACGGCCACTACTTAGCCTGACAAAAAAACGGACCTCAACTTGAATAAACCCTAAACCCTAAACCCTAAACCCTAAACCCTAAACCCTAAACCCTAAAAGCCAAGCCAAACAGACTTGTGCCTCACATTGCAGCATCGTTTTAAAACTGCGGCGCCTTCAGCCTCGCCATTCGCTCGCTGGCGTAGGAAAGGCTTCCATAGCCTAGGGGTTTAGGGTTTAGGGTTTAGGGTGCTTAGGGTTTAGGGTTTAGGGGCTATCATCTGCATCCATGCCAATTGCACCATGCAGGTGGTGCAAAAAGATGGGCAGTCCTCGTTTTTAGTGCCCCTTATTGACCCTCCACTCAATATGAGTATCCCTTACTGACCTCCTAAGCAATAAAGCTGTCCAATAACCAGGGCCTGCCGAAAACGAGCCTGATTGTGAGGAAACTTACTAGATGCTGACTAGATTGCACAATGCTCTGGAAACACCCTGACCCTAAACCCCGAAACCCTAAACCCTAAACCCTGCTATCTAAGCAGTCGCGTTGTGACGGTTTGAAAGACTGATAGCTTGTATTCCAAGGCGCATCAGGCCTACACCATCTTCAAACTTCGGATTCAACGACTGAGAGAGACTTGGGTCTGAAGCAGAAGCTTGTGATTTGTGTAGGGTTCTAAGGTTTGGGGCATAGGGATTGCCGGGTTTAGGGTTTAAGGCTAGGTCTAGGGGGACCAATATTGACCAACCAGGGTCTACATAAGCCTTCCGTAGCTTTTTGGCTCACGGCCGTGTTATGCATCGGTTTGCGTCCCTCAAAGACAACAAGGTTCTGCCTCGGTAAGACAGCCTTGCAAGCCCCAGAAGCCCTAGAAAACCCTAGAACCCCTCAAGCACCCCCCAAGCCCCCAAAGCCCGTGAAACCCGCAGAGCCCTAAAAAACACCCTTCAAGCCCTCAAAACCCCCAAGAGCCCTAAAACCCCCCCCAAACCCCCCTCAAGGCCCCCAAGACCCTAAGAATCCCGAAAACCCCAAGGGCCCTAAAACCAAACCCGAAACCCTAAACCCTAAACCCTAAACCCCCCCCCAAGTAGGGGCCAAAGAAGCAGCGCAGAGCCGCCCAGGCGGAGGCGCAGCCGGCCGTGGTGTAGGGAAAGACGAAGCCAGACATGAGGAACTCCAGGACCAGGGGGAAGACCTCTTAGGGTGTAGGGTTTAGGGTTTAGGGTTTAGGGTTTCGGGTTTAGGGCGTACTAGTAGGGTTTACGGTTCAGGGTGTAGGGTTTAGGATTTAGGGTCTAGGGTGCAGGGGTTTTTGTTAGAGGTTTCTGGTCTAGGGTTTGGGGTTGAAGGTTTAGGGTTCTAGGGTTATAGGGTTATAGGGTCTAGAGTTTAGGGTTCCACTGACGAGGCATTGGAGCTGAAGCTTACACAACACCCTAGACTGTATCCTGCGCACTGTACACATGACACAACTCACCAGAAAACATGTACTCTACGAGTGCTGCAAAATGCAAAATACAAAAAAAACATCTATGCATGCCGTACAGACAATGGTGCCGCCGACCCCAACTTCCTGCAACTGCACTCCGAGGACCTCTGCTTCACGCTGAGGTTCGAACATGGCGGGCTCACATTCTGAAGGCAAGAAGGCACAGCCTAAACCCTAAGGTGGCGGCTTCTTGTGTCACCGCACCTGCTCATAGTGGTTCTGAAGTCCGCGCTGGGCGCGGTTGAATTGGCCGAAGGGCCCGGAGTCGTCCATAAGAACCTGGGTAGGGTTGAGGGTTTAGGGGGTGGGGTTTCGGGTTTGGGCAACTTTTTGTTATGAAGACTGCAGGCTGGAATACGCTGCTTTGTGCCTTGACACGTCTACACAGGAAAGCCACAGATGTTGATGAACACTAAACCGACTAAACCCTAACGACCAACCCCCCCAAACCCCCCTTGCAAAACCCTCGAACCCACCCTCGCAGCGAAAGCCTCACCTCGAGCCACATCAAGCCTAGACCTTACGCCTTCTCAAGCAGAGCTGGGGAACCATCGCACCGTCAGCAGCGCCGCCGACGACTTTGTAGACGTGCTGGTCAGGAACATTGATGCCACTCTCGCGCCGGGCCGAGTTGAGGCTGGCTTGCATCATGAGGAGCATAAACTTCCTGAGAGCAAAGGTGAGGAAGGGCTTGAGGTCTTCGTGTCTAGGGCGTTTTTAGGGGCGTTTTTGGGGCGTTTTTGGGCTTAGGGATCAGATTGCATGGGCGTGAATGTCTTCTTCTGCCAGAACGTGCTCCCCGGAGACCAACCTCCACATCATGCATGAAAGCTGGCTGTCAGAAAGAAAACCTAGGGGGTGAGGATGTTCCCCCTGATACTAACAGTCCCTAATGGGATTACGAGTAACCCCCCAAAGCTGTCCGTGTTAAGGACTGTTTGTATCAGGGGGAACATCCCAACCCAAGAGGTTGGGATGTTCCCCCTGATACTAACAGTCCTTAAGTTCTGTGGACAAGTGTCATGAAGGACACCGAGAGATAGAGAGGTCCAGCACTCAGAGTGGCGAGCGTGCTCACCCGTGCCTGCAACGAGATAAGCTTAGGGTTTAGGGTTTAGGGTTTAGGGCTTAGGGTTTAGGGTTTAGGGTTTAGGATAGTTCAGGCTTAAGGCTTGTATGTAGCCTGATTACGATTGCCACGACAAGTACTGTGATCAGACCAACTGACTGCAAGAATGTCTTGTTATTTTGATTCCGGTTATAGATGTTTACACATCGCTCTCGCTTGCTTGCGTATACTCTCGTTCTCTCCTCTGTCTCTCTGTCTTTCTCGCTTTGCTTTGCTAACAGTATCTATTGCGCTCTGTCACTCTCTGTCTCTTTCTGTCTTCTGTTTCTGTCTCTCGGTCTCTCTCTCTCTCTCTCTCTTTCTCTCTTTTCTCTCTTTTCTCTCTTTTCTCTCTTTTCTCTCTCTCTCTCTCTCTCTCCCTCTCTCTCCCTCTTCGCTTCCTTCCTTCCTTCCACCACATCAGGCCCCCGAAGGAGCCGCCCCAAGGGGCATGCGCTAGCGAGTCAGTCGATCGCTCTTCGCTCTCTCTCTCTCTCTCTTCTCTCTCTTCTCTCTCTTCTCTCTCTCCTCTCTCTCCTCTCTCTCTTCTCTCTCTCTCTCTCTCTCTCTCTTCTCTCTCTCTTCTCTCTCTCCTCTGTCTCTGTCTCTCTTTTCTCTTCTCTCTCTCTCTCTCTCTCTCTCTCTCTCTCGTTCTCTTTTTTCTCTCTCGCTCTCTCTCTCTCTCTCTCTCTCTCTCTCTCTCTCTCTCTCTCTCTCTCTCTGTCTCTCTCACACTCTCTCTCTACTACTATGGCATTTATACAAAGAACTGGAAGCAATACTAGAGGTAATCATAGTAGAAGCAGGAATAGTGATGGTGGTGGTAGTGTCGTCGTCGCGGTAGCAGTAGTAGTAGTAGCAGCAGCAGGAGAAAGTTCTCCTTTTTCGGGTTGAGCAGTTGCCAGCACATCCCGAAGCCAGTCATGTCCAGCTTATGCAAGACTTTCCGCCCTCCGCCGAGGGTTGTCGCTATCAAAACAATAAACCAATCCAAAACGGATACATCCGGCAACGCTGATCGCAGCAAACGACGGCCCTACGCACGCTCTCTACACCTTGCCAAGATGGGCGCGGGCAAACGTCTCGATTGCGGCCGTACTGCTACTAATACGTGCTTCCAACACCAAAACCCTGAGCCCTGAACCCTGAACCCAAACCCTAAATCCTAAACCCCAAAACCCTAACTCCTGAACCCTAAAAAATCCAGAAACCTAAAGCCCTAAACCCCAAAGCCTAAACCCCAAAACCCTAACTCCTGAACCCTAAACCCTAAAACCCTAAAACCCTAAAACCCTAAACCCCTAAAACCCTAAAACCCTAAAACCCTAAAACCCTAAAACCCTACAACCCTAAAACCCTAAAACCCTAAAACCCTAAAACCCTAAACCCTAAACCCTGAGCCCACCCATGGCCTGAACAGAAGGGCTCCACTTCATGGCCAGGCAGCCGCCGATGATGCCGGGAAGGGACAAGAAAGTCACAAAGCTCGGAACCCAAAGGAACCTGCTCAGGTTTAGGGTTTAGGGTTTAGGGTTTAGGGTTTAGGGTTTAGGGTTTAGGGTTTAGGGTTTAGGGTTTAGGCTTTAGGCTTTAGGGTTTAGGGTTTAGGGTTTAGGGTTTAGGGTTTAGGGTTTAGGGTTTAGGGTTTAGGGTTTAGGGTTTCGGCATAATCGCAGTTCAGGGGTTTTAGGGTATTGGGGCAAGCCAAAGGAACCTGCTCATAATCCTGGTTTAGGGGTTTTTGGGTATTGGGGCAGGGGTTTCGGGTTCGGCGGTTTAGGGTTTAGGGCTATACGTAGACCCAGTACGGTATGCCGGCGCAATACACTGCCAACCACAACGGACCGCTCTAGTCGACATGATGAAGGAAAACAGTATACAGTAGAACAAAGCATGAAGTACAGCACAGGCTTCAATGCTGAAGTGTGGTAGGGCCAGCCAGGCATATGGGCTGCACACTCTTAAGTTGAGCGCTTTGGGGGCAAGAGCTATTGCAGAAGTTGGGGCCAAACCCCCCGAAATCCTAAAAGTTTCCGCGCTTCTCAAGCTCTGACAAACATGGGGACCAGGATGGTTGCAGCTTGTCATGTGGGGTTTGCGAAAGTAGGGGGTTACCCTTTTTGGGGGGTCCCGTAGAAGGGGATTCTACTCTATTTGAGGTAGAGCTCTGTAGCACTCGAATTCAAGGACGTCGGTTGGTCAATTGGTCAATGGTAGCATTGCGTCACCCTGGCATCTGCGCCAGTCTTCGCCACCACCGACACTACGCGACAGTGCACTAAGCTAGAATGGCAGTATACTACGTACACGGACCAGATTACACTAGCAAGTGCTGGCAAACTAGTTCTTGTCTTTCGAGGAGCATGCTCGTCTCCCCAACACCCAGCTTGACAAAGTCCGACTGATTTCGGTCCGGCTTTGGCATGGCGCGTGTAGCTGACAGCAGGGTATGTACAAGTGGCCACAATGTTCGCTGCTAGCCAAAATGGCGGCAGAAGCTTGATGCGGCTTTTCTCAAAGAGCTCATCCCCCGAGCACGTTGCAGCCATGTGGTCGGGCCTTCCTGCAGGAAAGCAGGTAGCAAGCAAGCCTCTTGGGCAACTTCGCGATGCCTTCCTTGGCTCTGCCCTCGAGAGGGCCACAAGAATGAAGGGCACTCGGAGGTTCAGGGTACCCCGACTTAGGACAACAATAATTAAAATAGATTGCTAATGATATTAATAATAATATCAATAGTACTACTGCTAATACTGTTAAAAATGCTAAAACTGCTATGATTACCATACTGAAAAAAGCCCCTCGTGAGCCCTGTAAGTAGGTTTCTTAAGTAGACTCAGACTTGGGGGTTCCACGTTCCCATGAACCCCAAGCCCTCAACACCCGCCACTTTTGCGTGAAGAGCTGAAGAAGAAATATCCGAGCTCGACTCAAAAGTTGGGTCAAGTTCTCCTTTCAGCTCGGAGCCGTGGGCTCCCGCCCCTCGGACTCCCAAAAAGACAGGGTTTCGGGTTTAGGGTTTAGGGTTGAGGGTTGAGGGTGTAGGGTGTAGGGTGTAGGGTGTAGGGTTTAGGGTTTAGGGTTTAGGGTTTAGGGTTTAGGGTTTAAGGTTTAGGGTTTAAGGTTTAGGGTTTAGGGTTTAGGGGAACCCCTCTTTGCAGTTCTAGTCCAAGCCTGCCTCAGTGTATACTGAGAAACACGCATCCCACCCCATCTCCGAAAACGGCTGGTGGCAGTTCCAGCTCCAGTTGTTCGGAAAAAGACTCCAGCCAGCACGTGAGGCATAAATGAAACCCACGAACACGAATCTCGCGCAGCGAAGCACACTATCAGGTCGCGGCCGTGCTGGCTGACAAACAAGCCATCGAGCAATGTCCTCTCAGAGTTCGCTGCAGACATGGTGTCCCCATGTCTTTGCTTTGTGCATCGCATGTTGAGGTGCCTTGAGGTGTCTGTGACCGTCCTTTTTCATGCGTCTCGCACTCGGGGGCTCTTGGGACGTGGGACCCAGGTTCCTCACGACTGTGAGGCTTCTTGGTGAAGAGATCTGACCTTAAAGGATGATGTCCTCTTCGCACCCTAAGCTCCAAGCCCCACCTCCAAAAGCCCATGTAAGAAGCACCTTGCGGTCGATGCTGCCGTTATCATAAAGCGGGGGATCCTCAGCGACCCAAACAGGAACACGTGAAGACTTGGGGGCCTTTAAACGGGAGCCCTTCCCCCACCCCCCTCTGCCCCCCCTCTGCCCCCCCACCCCCCCACGCTCAAAGCCCACGAGCCCGAACTTTTTGTGGATCCCATCATCAGTGATCGTATTAATCATAGTAGTACCCACCCAGCCCCCCCGCCCCGTCACTCCACTCGCTTCCTCTCCTGGCTCCTCCTTCGGGTCCTTCGGGTCCTTGGGGGTGCGTTTCGATGTTGTTTTTTTTCCTGTAGCCGCCCTGGGCCCCAACAAGTATAGCCTGTAAGGGCCGGAAGCTACGCCCTCGATTCTCGCCTTTATGTCCAACGCATATAGCCTGCCCCTGTGCCCTGGGGAGGTTTTGGAGGGGAAGGCCCTGATTGTGCCTTGGGTCAGGGCCGGTTCTGCGACTTCAGGTTCTATGGAGAGGCTGTTCTCAGGAATTGAAACTCCCAAACCCTTGAAGACCAGGCTTCTTCGGCTCCCCGCCGCACCCTGCCCTTGATTTGAGGGTTTGGGATTGAAGGCTTAGGGTTTGTTGTTGGCTTCCCTGCACCCCAAGAATCTAAACTCTAAACCCTCCCAAAACCCTCTTGGGAGTTTTGGGTTCTGGGCTTCGGGTACAGGGCCCGGGCATTGGCGCGCTTAGGAAATGCTGGGGGGGTTGTTGGGAGGCTCTGGCGCGATCATGCCTTAAACCCCCAGACACCTAAGCCTTAAACCTTTTAAACTCCAAACCCTGCCTTGCGCCCCTGCCTCCTAGACCCCCCAAGATCGCGAACTTTGTAAAATTCTGAACCCCTGAACCCCTCAACCCCGCTAAGCCGTGAACCTTGCAAACTCCTAAACTCCGGTAAGCACACAAATCTTAATCAAGGGATTAAGACTCGTACCCCTGAGGTTTTACACCCAAAAGGTTCCCTTAATGTACTCCGAGCATGGCCCTTATTCTACCTTCTTTCAAAAGGGTCCCCAAACCTAAGGGTACCACCTCAGAGGCCCAAGTACCGTCCCATGACTTAAGCCGCCAATAGCGAGTATCCTGAAGTTCTAGTTCCTCGAATACTATTCAAGCCGACATTCCCCCCCACGCGGATTATACGATTCGGTCAAAGAGCTTGCCCCGAAATCCTCTTCGTTATATGTTGAAGGAACGAAATTTAAGGATGGGTTTGGCTAGAATCACAACTAGTTGCTCGTGTCTCACGCTGGCCGCACAGGTTATGCGATTCCTCTTACTTTTCTTCTTCACTCCGACTGCGATCAAATCACCCTATTGAATGGGCATCATCAAGAATCGAAGTACAAACAAGTCTAGTAGAGTTAAATGTTAATCGCTTGTCTCGAACGAAGAGACGACATTCCCCCACGCGATTAAACGATTCGGTCAAAGAGCTTGCCCCGAAATCCTCTTCGTTATATGTTGAAGGAACAAGTCCCTACACCCTGAACCCCTAACCCTAAACCCTCTTGCTTTCTGTTTTTTTTGCGGAGAAGCGCCTCTTCACACCCTAAATCCTAAACCCCGAACGGGTCTGGGGTAAAGCTCCGGAGCTCCAGGCGGGCTGGGGATGGTCAAGGGTTCAGGGATCCGGCTTTGGGGGTTTAGGGTTTAGGGCTTAGGGTTTAGGGTTTAAGGTTTAGGGTTTAGGGTTTTGGGCTTAGGGTTTAGGATTTAGGGCTTAGGATTTAGGGTTCGGGGGTTGAGGTTCAGGGCTTCCTTGGGCAGTGAACCCTTGCAAGAAGAGTGACCTTAGCAAATACATGTCGCATCTTTCTATACAACCTCAGGAAAGGAATTCGTCGTTATGGCGCGGCAACACACATCAGAGTAGTGTGACAATGGCGATGGCAGTTCGGAAGAGATTAGTTAGGGTTTCGGGTGTGGTGTTCATGGGCCTGAAGGTAGCGAGAGTTTCTCGCAGCGTCTGCGGCTCAGCCACACAGAGCGAGCAACATATCTTCAACTGCAGGTTAGGGCTGTTTACCTTTGGGTCTCATCTCAGAACAGCTATAAACCCATCGCCGGGGCCAGTGTGGGCCAGCCACCCTGAAACCGAGATTCCTTTACAAGTGAACCTTCAGACTTTCCTTCCCTGCGGTCTTCAGTCCACGCTCGCAAAAAGTCTAAGAGCTTGGGGCTGGCAACCCTAAACCCTCAACCCTCAACCCTCAACCCTCAACCCGAAACCCGAAACCCGAAACCCGAAACCCACTGCCACGAAGGAGAAGGTTCGACGGCTCCTGTGAAACCCTATAACCCTAAACCCTAAACGCGAAGCCCCTAAGCCAAAGGGTTGGAGTTCAGGGAAGTTGGGCGTTTCCAGCGCTTCGGAGTATGATCGTTTCGAATTTTGCGAAGGGAGCTTGAAAAAGAGGGCCGGCCTTCTTCGAATCGAACTTGAGGAAGGGCTTCGCAGGGGCTTGAAGGGGGGCTTGAGAAAATATTCTGGAAGGGGGCTTGAGAAAATTCGGAAGCCCTTCCTTTTCTCTCTTCTTCAAGGCAATTTAAATTGAGTTAGAGTCTTACTTTCTCTGGTTTTGTCGAACAATGAAACACAAAAATGCAAAACAAGCTTCGAGGGGGGTGGAATGCAGAATCCGCCGACCCCGCTCTTGGGGTCGAGCGCCCCACGCACTTGGGGTCCCGCCCCCAACCGCCCTTTCCCTCCCACACACACACACACCAACCTTTTCCAGTTACCCCCCCCCCTACCCCCCCCCCCCCCCTACCCCCCCCCACCCACCCCCCCACCCCCCCCCCCCCCCCACTCGAAGTTCTGTTTTGTGCTGGTTTTTGCAAAACACGCCAACCCACAAAAAAAGCTCCGCGCCTAAGACCCGACCTGCGACTGCCTCTGGTCCCACACCCAACCCCTGCTTTGCCCACCCGCAAACCCAGAAAACCTCGAAAACCTCAAAAATCTCTTTTTGCTGGCTTAGAAACGGCACCCACAAAAAAAACTAACTCCGCGCCTGGGCAACTGCCTCTGCTCCCACACCCGACCCTTGGGGTCGCGTAACCGTTTGCGAGCTAAACCCTAGAGACCCCAAACCAAAGCCCTGCACCCTAAGCCCAAAAAAAGTAACACCATGGGACCCTAAACCCTTAACCCTAAAGCCTAAAGCCTAAACCCTAAACCCTAAACCCAAAAGCTCTGCTTTGGGAGAGCTCCAATCCAAGTTGACGCTACCCCTTCGAAACCCAACTCTAACCTGCGTCTCGCCGGCGGCCTTGCCATTGGTGTTCAGGAAGCCTGTCTTTTGCAAGGAGCATATGCCTTTTGGGGCTTACTTAGGATTCGTAGGGTTTAGGGCTTAGGGTTTAAGGTTCAGGGTTGAGGGTTGAGGGTTTAGGGTTTGGGGAGGACGGGGGCAAGGGGGTGTTGGCCAAAACTAGGGAGACCCTGGCAAAGGTATGCATTCCACAGGCTCCATGGCAGAACGGGTTGCAGGTTGCAGCTGTTCTTCCCTTCTGTGTCTGCAGCCGAGCTGAAGGTCTTTTGCCTTCACCTCTCAATCCTCGCCGGAGCATGATCATTCCGGTCATACCAGAAAGCCTCTCAAGGGCCGGTCCAGAGCCCATGGCCACACGCCCCATGCGCTTGAGTTCGTCTGAAGCCACTCGAGACTCGAAACAAGGGCCGGTCCAGAGTGAGTCCAGAGCCACAGCCTCCCTAAACAACCTAAAGATCCAACATTCATCCTGAACCGCAAAAACTCTGCAAACACTCTGCAAAAACCCCATAAGGACTCTAAACAACTCTCTACAAACAGAGAAAGCCTTCGGGAGGCACCAAAAAGTTGCACAGGCTCATGGTCAGACTGCAAAACAGGCCGCCGAGGAGTTCATGCCCTTCATGAGCGTAAAGCTCTGGTCGCACGCCGAAAAATGGGTGTTAGACCTGTCTCACATGATTCTTTATCCAAACAATGAAAAAGCGCTGCTCATACGACACCATGCCACAACGACTGCTGGGAAGATCCACGCCAATGGAGACATACTCTCAACCCTCATAGGCGTAACCTGCAACGACAGTTCGGCCTGCGTCAGGCAAAAACCCTTTGAGGGACTGTTTGCCTTTCCCCCCTCTCACAGCCGCAAACAGTGAAACAAAGTTTGTCGGGGCTGTAAAGAGACCCGCCGTTGCACGGGCATGCGTTCCACAGGCTCAATGGCAGAACGGGTTTGAATGGCTGCCCCTTCTGTGCAGATTCAAAACACCATCACCTCAGAACCCAGGATCAAAACGCCATCCCTGCATCAACCCGTTCCAACGAGCGGGCGTGTCTGTGGCCCAACTGCTGTACCCTCGCTATGCAGGCTCTTGCCCTGATCTCTGCGCAGCTCTATCGGAACGTCTGCCCAGACATTCAAGCACTAAACAAATACCACAAGCTCGTTTTACTGGGCCACCTCGCAAAATCAAGGAGCAGACTCAATTCCGAGGCGCACGTAGGGATCACAGGCCGTCCGTTGCACCTTATAAGCCCTGACCCTAAACGCTCTCAAGCCGCTGGCATCGGATGGTGCATCCCTGGATTGTGAACGATTGTGACATGTGGCAATATGAGCAGAGTTTCTTCGTTGTTTGGATGAAAGTGTCGACCTTCTACTCGGCCTACACGAATGCAATTTTAGAAGCTAATAGGCTCCGGATGTGTGGTTAATAAGGCCTACGCGGGCCTACACGGGCCTACACGCCGAGCGCAAAACCTCATTCATGAAATGAGGCTGCAGCTATGGCTCGTGTAATCTACGAACCTTGCAGAGAGAAACTATTACTCAGCCGAGTTCCAGGAATCCGGCTTGTCTACGAACTCCCATATAAAAAGAAGAAAAGAAACACTGCTCACATGACACTCTGACACAACGACTCCGACTCTAACTGCCGGCACTCTGCAGAAGCCAACGGAGAGTGTGACTCACAAAGAGACCCGCCACTGGCAAAGGCATTCCGCTCAATGGCAGAACGGGTTGCAAATGGTTCTTCCCTTCTGTCCAGATTCTGAAAAAACACCCCGCCATCACTCTTCGCCAGCTTTTGCATCCGAGCTGAAGGCCTTTTGCCTTCACCTCTCAAATCCTCCTCAACGGAGTAATCGGAGTATGATCATTCCGGTCATACCAGAAAGCCTCCAAAAAGACTCGAAATAGGGCCCATGGCCCGAGACTCGAAACGAGGGTCCAGAGTCTGAGTCCAGAGCCACAGCATCCCTAACCTAAACATCAAACATGCATCCTGAACCGCGAAACTCTCGAAAAATTCTATAAGAACTCCGTAAGAACTCCGTACAACCCTTAAGCCGCCCCCTACATCTGGATCCATGCATCATCTTAAATGCAGAACAAGCTGCGTAGGCTTATGGAATCAACCGTGCCTGCAGAATTGATGCCGGCATGCCTGTCTCGATGAGAGACGTCGGTCAGGCTGCAGGCAAAGCAGGCCGCTGAGGAGCTCGTGCCCTTCATGAGCGCAAAGCCCTGGTCGCACATCGAGAACAGGTTGTAGTCCTGTCCCTGGCCATTTCGGGAATGTGTCTCTGAAATGGTGGAGCTGCCTTCCCTGTGGCCAATTCGTACATGACGGCGTTCCCAGCAGCTGAAAGATCTGAAGCAAAGTGTCAATTTGAGAGCCTCCTGGGAACAACGGGCGGCCGGTGCACATCTCTGCGATCACACAGCCGGCTGACCAACAGTCCACTTCAAATCCATAGCGAGCTGCGCCAAGGAGGAGCTCTGGACTCCTGTACCAAAGCGTCACCACTTGCAGCGTCAGCGGTTGCTGCGGATCGCTTATGCGCGCCTGGCCAAAGTCTGCTATCTTCAGGATGCCTTCGGCGCTGACGAGAATGTTCTGAGGCTTTATGTCGCGGTGAAGAAGTTGAATGGTGTGGCACGCACAAAGGCCATCCAAGATGTTCGCGGAGTATTGTCTAACTTCCTCAATCGACATGCGCCCGGAACTCTGCTTCAAGACCATGCGGAGGTCAGCCGGATGAAGCTCGAAGACCATCTGAATGTCGTAGCGACCCACATGTACATCGAGCAGCCGCACCACGTTGGGATGCTCGAACTTGCGCACCAGTGCCACTTCCAGCACTGCGAAGGCTGGCACGCCGTGCCCAAAGACCTCGGGGTCATACGACACTTTCTTAATGGCCACGACATGCTTGGTGCTCATGTGCTCGGCTTCCGTGACCTCGCCGAAGGCGCCCTTGCCGAGATGTTCCATCATCAGGTAATCACCACACAAGCCATGTCCTCGTCCCTCACGCAGTGCACGGAGACCCTCATGTCTCGCGATGATCTTCTGGCTGGCAAAGTGAACCGCTGATCCGCTCTGGGCGACTGCGGCGAGCACGATCTCTTCATCGTCACACAAGCACGGCTCCGCATACTTCAATGCTTGCCCGTCCTGCTTCACGGCCGCCAGGACAATCTCCCTGTCGCCCTTGAAGCTTGCATCGAGAAACTCAAGAAGTAGTCCTTGATGACTCAAAGCAGCTTCGGCTGTTGACCGGTCCCCCCAAATTTGCTGGCAGCAGTCCTCGGCACCCTCCACATTCTTCAGCACACAGGCAATCATGAGCTGAACCAGAGGATCAGGGTGAGAGAGCAATCGGTGCAGCATCTCCATTGTCTCGTGGCCGAATCGTGGGCCTAGCTCAGAGAGCAATCGGATTGCAGCTCGCTTGACGTCCCAAACAGGGTCGTTGAGCATCGAGACGACCTTGCGGAAGATCTTTGAAGCCTCATTCCCGTCAGTCGCCTCAAAGATGCTGTGGTTGACGGACTGAAGAGCCGCTACTCGTCGGGTGGCATCCCGGCACTCCAGCATTGCGAGGAACTGGGGCAAGTCCAGGCTCGTTGAACCTTCTGGAATCCTCTCCTCAGAACCCTCAGAAGCAGAAAGCTCGGCTGATGCATCCCTCGCTGGAAGACTCATTCGATGCGCGGGAAGATGGCGAACACAGAGCTGATGGGCTTTCCGTGTCGCAAGGTACTGTACACTAAGCCTGCTGGGCCTAAGCAGCTTTTTTCGGGCGCTTTCAATTTCTGGAAACACTCGGCGCTTGGAAGCATGCTAGTGCTGCGAGGACAAATCTGCCAAGACCAAACTGCTCTTGCAGGGCCTCGCGCTATGGAAGTGTCGAAGGCCTCATTGTAGCATAAAGTGCTTTGTTGGGTGTTCCGACGGCTTTTTTTGTTTCACGGGCGTTGAAGGGTGTAAGATGTTCTGGGCTTGAAAAAAGGAAAAGGGCTCCTTTAACAAAGCAGCCTGAACCCTATGTAAACCCCCAACATAGGTGCAACATGCGCCCCGAATCTTGTCCCTGGGGATGCTATTTTTCCATATGATTATATGGCGATATTATAGTATGATATTATTGTGCGGGGATTTCCGAACATAGGGTACCCCTTATATACCCTAAAACACTACATTCACTACATAATCCTTTTGGAACCCCCAAAAAGGGTACAACCCCCATATCACTTCATCATCAACTCGTTTGAGTCTCAAGATGTTGCAAGTAACCTGACACAACTGTCGCAGCTTGTGCAAAGGCGTCCCAACAAGCTTGCGGAACAAGCGTACAGGAAGCTCAGACTAGTTTGGAATAGCTCGCTCAAGCGCAAAGCTAAGGTCAATTTTTTCAAGCCAGCTTCCTCCCTGTACTTCTGTCCGGCCGAGATTCCCTTTCCCTGACCGCACCGCAGCTGCGCAGGATAGATGCTCAATATCTCAGATGCTTTAGACGAGCCATAGGCATCAAAGCTTCTTACTACTCTAGAATCCCCAATCAAGAGGTTTGGAAGCAGGCGGGACATCCCACTTTACCCTCCGGCCGCCTGCACCGGGCGCAAAACACAAGGTTCGTAGCAGTGTTCCAGTCACAAATACAGGATCCCATTCATAATGTGATATTTAACTCCCCCTACAAAGATAGAATCCTGAACCAAGGTCGGCGTAGAGGTATGCAGTTCCCATACTGGATAGAAGCCATGAGCCAGAGGTACTTCCCCGACCACACCGCCTCTAGAGGAATCCTTGGACCACACTCCCATTATGCTGACATTGCCAAGCTGGTTCGCAGTTCCTCTTTTGAGTTGGCGCCGAAGCGCGCTATGCAGCAAAAGCGCGCAGGGCTCTAGCAAAAAAAACGTAAGGGTAATAAGGGATACAAAAAATTATTATACATGATGTTGAATATCCATATAACAAAGAAAAGCCACTAGTTAAGAACTTAAAAACCAAACTCGAACAAGTTTCAAATACTCCTCAATACAGGCGCTTCGAAATCCTTGAAGAAGCTTCCAAAAGCATTTTAGTAAGAAAAGCTTTAACAAACTACACTATTAAATACAAAGCCACAATCACAGACGAACAACCGGCTTTACAATCTTACGCCAACACCTACTCAATATCTAATATAAAACAGTCTCATATGAGAGGCTCATACACCAAAACGACAAACTAAACCAATACCTTAAAACACACACAATCAATGAGTGTGAAAGCTTTCGTTGAAATTGTTTTTGACGACATAGAAACAGAAGATGAAATAATACACTCAATAAAATCTAGACGACACAACATATGCAATGAAGATTATTTAGTAAAGGCTTCAAACAATATGGGCAAGGATATGGAATTTATTGTAGCAGAAAAACAAATAGAAAAATCGGGATTAAGAAAAAAATGCTTCATAAAATAACAATACACGGAAGAACACCCTGCACAAGCTACTTCGCATTGCAATACGGTCCATTGCACTGTATTCTATCAGAATTAAGCCTATTGCTTCTCACCATTGCCAAAGAAAGCTGTAGGGATAAGAGTATATTTTCCGAACGCCCCCAAGTAAGCTTGAAGCCTCCTGGCTCCTTGGGGAGCGACGTGAAGAAATGACGACTCCAAGAAGTCTGCCTGCTACTGCTGCTGCTGCTGCTACTGCTACTGCTACTGCTACTGCTACTGCTACTGTCAGTACTATTGCTATTACTAGGAGCACAATAAGCCCAAACCATTTGTCTGAACTTTAGCTTAAGCCCGATGCAAGCCCCTTGGAGATCTATTCACCACCATGTGAGACTTGGAAACTCTTTGGAGAAAACAACGACGCACTGCACACACACTCACCCCGGACCCGAATTGTTCAAACGCGCCTGCAGTGCCGCTGTGGCCAGCCTCCCGTTTACGCAGGAAAACATGAATCTCATGATCCGATTGTGTCATTCCAGGTGCTTAGGGTGTAAGGCCAGAAGGGCATAGCATAGCAAAGCATAGCATAGTAGAGCATAGCATAGTATAGTATAGTATAGCACAAAAAAGGTACAGTTATGCATGTTATAGCACTACAGTATAGTACACTATAGACTGTAGTGCAGTAGAGTATACTATGACTATTAGCAACTCTGGCCTCTGACCCAACTGTTGACCTGGGTCGGCAGCAGCGGCCAGTTGGATCTTCAGTGCCTGGCAGCCGCATCTTCCCAAGCAAGGCGATAAACAAACCGACCAAAGCACCAGCGAACACCTAACCCGAGACTGACCGAGACGTTACTTGCACGGGCACCGAGCTCCAAGATCCGTGTCTACGCGAGCCAGGACACCGACGGCACATATCAATCAGGCAGCCGTCACCCAAAAGCCGACAGCAACCGGCAAGCTGAATTGCGACAGCTGTCTGACCCGACGACAACCCACACACACCGACGCCGACAAGATGGAACACCAATGGAACCTGGCATCGGGAAAGCGGCGGCACACGGTTCCAACATTGATGGACAACAAGGCAAGCGCATCTCCTGCACACTTTACTCGCTAAGCTCATCTGAGCTTGTGGTTGTGGCCTTGGTACAGCATTCAACTAACATTCCAACTGCATCCTACATCAGTCCCCGCCTCAAGCAGCACCTCCTGACTCCGGTCGCTAGCTCGGATGGCAAGCAGCCGAGCATCGTGCATGGCCTGGTCACAGGGGGGACCCTCAGGGGACCCTCAGGCGACCCACAGGGGACCCTGGCGACCCTGAGGGCTCTCCTCGAGCAAGGCCGCAATGACGCTGAGCCAATCAATGGTTGAAAGGTGAAAACCATCTCCTAAATGCTTTCTTGCAGGCGCTGGCTACTATGGCCTCGTACGTATGGCTCAGAGGGTTTAGTGTTTAGCGGGTTTAAGGCTTAGAGGGTTTAGGGTTTAGGGGGTTTCTATATCTACATATTATCTATTTGTTATTTATTACTTTATTTGTTTTTTTTATGTTTATATACGTATATACATTCATTAATCATAGGCACCTTTTTGCGCTCGAGTTTGCATGCCAATACACGCGGGCCGTGTCAATGGTACTTGAAGAGCACAACCTCTGCAGCATCCACGTGGTCCAGACTCGCATGGGCACGCTGGTACAAGTTCTTCACATGGTTGTCCTCCTTGTTGGAGACGAAGAAGCACGTTCCATCTTCCCACGAGACTGAGCTGGCCCCTACTTCCGTCAAACGGCCCACGCACTGGGCCATGCCCTCCTGCCCTCCAGCCACAGATTCGGTGGCGTGGCGTTTGATCTTTTCGTGGACCTTCTTTTGTATGAAGCTCCAATTCAAGCTCTCATCCTCGTTGCAGCGGGTCAGGAACTCTTGTCTTTGATCGCGGTGGCAGTTCTTGCCAACCTCCGCGCTGCATGTGAGCTGTCCGAGTTCTTGCACCTGCTGCGCGTCGTGCTGCAGCATGGAGGAATCTTCAGGCTCGTCTTGTCCAATCCTCTCCGCATCCTTGGCATCATTGGGCTCCGGATCCAGAGACTCCATCTCTTGTTGGTTCCCTTTTGGTAGAACGCTGTTGCACAGGCGTTCCCGCGTGGAATTCCTGAGGATAGTGTTTTCTGAGCAACACCTGGCGTTCCAATCTTCCTTCTCGGCAGAAGTCATGTAGGGCCAGAAGCGGCACGTGCGCTGGTTCCAGCCACAGGAAAGACCGCAGCAAGTCAATGCCTCGGCCTCTACTTTGCGTACCACCAAGTCCGCGCACACCTTGGGGACGGAATCTGCTGACATGCCAACTTCAGCGAAGCCGAGCTTAGAGCCGACCTTAGAGTCCTTCATACCCTCGACGAGGTCATGGCACTCGTCCTTGCAGACCTTGGACAACAGTTGCTGCCAAGTCTGCGATGCCTGAGTCTTTTGACCCAGCACTCGAAAGGCTCTCGTCTCTGCCGGTAGTGATTGCTGCTTCACCCCTCCTTCTAGGCCAAGTAACTCCTTATCAGCCGCCTCGGGGGCGACTTGCCCTACCAGCGCTGTGCGGCAAATGTTCTCCGCTTCCGTGCGTTGTAGCGCTTCTTGTACTGCGATTTCAATTGAACTCGCTGATTCGTCGTCAACCGCTGTATGCCGTGCATTGGCATAAAGGCCAGCACAGAAATTCAGCGCGTCATTCCGGATGGCGTCGTATGCGTTGTGATGCATGACCTCTTCCTGTGTGATGCACCGGCCTGGCTTGAGCATGCACGTCTGAATGCTAATATATGCTAATGCAACGACAACCAGGGCTGAGGCCGAGGCAATCTCGCAAGCCATTCAGGTGCGAAATGTCGAAACTGGTTCCGAAGCTTCTGTCGTCTGCGTCTGCAGGACACCCCTTCCCAATGAATCTGGTGCGGCGGCACCGACACTCACCTTTACCATCGAAGTTGGCCCCGACGGAGTGACACAGCTGCTCAATCTCCCCGATTGTCGGGCATCTGCCTCAGGCGGTTGGCAAGTGTTGCATGCGGTTCTTAATTCGCAGGGATCGAAAGCTCTGAGGGGCAGGCACTCGCCGACGATGTCCCACACAGAGGGAATAGGCAACCACTGCTTGCCCGAAGTTTTATACCTACAAGGTTCGCTCTGGTCCGCGGAGAGCGCTTGGAGCGGATATGGGCAGTAGCAGTAGTTAGGTCCTTTGGCGAAGGTTGCCCCGATGCGGTCACATAATTGGCGGTCTGCTTCGAAGGGGTCCGAAGATAGCCACTGGTGGGGTCGCACAGCACTCGTAGTCATCCAGATTGACGCCACATGTATCCTTAGCGAGCGGCTCGAACCCAGGCTTCACACGAGTTCTACATGAGCTGGACAACTACTGAAATTCTAATTCGATGTAATTACTCGATGACGAAGCTTGCCAAAAGAACTTCTGACTGCAGATCATGACCAAAAGCTACGTACGCTTAAGATTGGCGGCCAAACGTTGGCAATCGACATGGCGGGCCCTAGCGGGAAGGGATTTTGAGCCCAGGCTATCCTGCTATCGCAGGTTTAGGACAACGCACTGTGGAACTTGAGCACGAGTCCGCTGCTGCAGGCACTTTGCATGGGCTTCCGCAGACATGCACAAGCTACTGCTCCTGTTCCAGTGAACGTCCAGCCTCACAGATTTCCTGTCCTCTCAGCTCCACCCCTCCAAGCACCGGCCTCCACCCCCGCCCAGGTGAGCTTGATATAAAATGATGCAGATGTCCACTTTCGTCAAGACAGATGGTTTTTGGGCAAGCGTTCTGTGGAGAGTGAACGCTAAGCAGCAGGCCTGTGCCAGCAGACCCAGGACTGAGGGCTATCCTACTACTAAGATCCAGTAGTGCCTCCCCCTGATCCTAGCCCGGGTAGGATGCGGCAATACAATGAATACCTTGACACGAACTGACTGCAACAGCTTGCTGTGCAGCTGGGCATGGCTTGATCTGTCCAGCCCTGTATGGTGCGAGGGTGACTTGGGAGTGCTCTCATCTGGAAAGCAACGCTGGACCCCCAAGGCCTTCAGCTTCAGCTGAACAGTCATGGCCAGGTCGCTGTGCCATTGCAGGATCCAGCCTGAACAAGATCAATACAAACTGCAGTGTCGCAAGTAGGTAGACCTATCAGTTGCTGAAGCGAGAAACTGCGGTTTCGAAGCTGCCCTATTCTCGAGGCTTGCTCGCTTGGCTAAGTCAGGGGCCAGCCAAGCGGCAAGTTTGCCCGAGCCTCCTGTTGCAACATCGTCCACTTAAGCGCTGCACATGTTTTCTTCCCAGGCCTGAGTCTGCACTTTGGCCAGCCATGCCTAAGGGTGATCCTTGGACTCCAACGCGGCGAGGATAGCCTGCTTCTCAGCCTCCTTGCACTGCTGTGCATTGTCAGCCGCGGTGTCCCCGAGGCTCGTGGACTCGGGCTCGGCACCTAGTATCAACAGCTTCTTGACCATCAAAACGTTGCAGCGGGAAGCTGCCACGGGCAGCAAAGCGTCATCTTCCAAGTTGATGTCCATGCCGTGTGCATGTAGAAGAGGAAGCACATCCAGGAAGAAGGTGTCGGTGATGAGCGGCGTGCTCCCACTTATGAAGTTCCCCAGGAAGGTGGCCAGCGGTCGTCCTGCAAAGGGCAAGGGGAAGGCCTACACCGATCATCTTCTCCATCCTGCCGATATCTTCCGATTGGAAGGACGGTTTGGGCTAAGACGACCGACGCAAAGGCAGCACAAGCAGATGGCATTGACAAAGAATCGAAAACAATTCAAAGGCCATGGCATGGAGTGGTGGTCTATGGCCGATGTTGCGTGCAAACCCTTGCACCCTTAAAAGCCATCGGAGCCATGGGCTGATGTGGGCATCTTTGAGTGCTTCACTAGTGTTTCAGTGCGCCTGCAATCTTGTCCACATCCACCGTACCATCCAGGAGAACTCTGACAGCCACCAGGTCGGACTTCTTGATCGCCTCCAGGAGTGCGGCGCCTGTGATAGCTCACGACACCCCGCAGCAAATCAAGGGGTTTAGGGTTTAGGGTTTAGGGTTTAGGGTTTAGGGTTTAGGGTTTAGGGTTTAGGGTTTAGGGAGGCTCAAAACTGCTTCTACTTCTGGAGATCAGGCCTCGGCAATCATCCGAAGCCCCGGGCGCCATCTTCTTGAGGATGCTGACAACATCCCACAACCGTGTGTGGTTCCCTACGTCCGCTTTTGCGCTCGCCTGCTGGCATGCCTTCGTGTTCATGGCATGCTCCTTGATCACCTCTACGAGAGCTGAGCGGCTGCACTCTGAAGCTTTTGCAGCTGGGGGGATGCCGGCAGTGGCGCCGGCGTTCTTGAGGACTTCCATGGCCTGTATCTGGCACTGACTGCCGGCAGCCACCAAAGCTGTGCCTTGACCGGTCCGGGCATTCACGCTGGCTTTCCGATCCAACAGCAACTCAATGAAGGGAATGTTGTTACTAGCCTTGGAAGAATGGAGGAGATGGAGACTCGAGGGTCATGTTGACTCCGTTGGTGGCCCAGCACTCTGTTCCGATTTAGGCAAATCCTTATTTCTCATTACCAAAGTTTGAGCGACCCAGGTGAGCAGGGAGAGGGGATAGGCAGGATGGGGAAGTGAAAGAGCAGAGGCGAGTCAGTGAGAGAGAGAGAAAGAGAGAGAAAGAGAGAGAAAGAGAGAGAAAGAGAGAGAAAGAGAGAGAAAGAGAGAGAAAGAGAGAGAAAGAGAGACAAAGACAGAGAGAGAGACGTCGCAGTGCCATGTTTGTGTAAGGGTATATGGACCGGGTTGAGCTTGGAGGAGTGTGAGAGGGCGAAAGCAAAAGAACGTGACCCACAAGGCCTGTCCCTGCAATAGGGCAAAAATTACTTTGGGGGGGTTGTTGGCTCAATGCCAGCCGAGCCGCAGCTGCAGTTTGCAAAGGGGTCACGCCTGAGAAGTTGCTGTCTGGGCTGGCCTTCCCACGCAGCAGCTCCTGCAGTCACAAGCTGGCCAAGGTCTACAAGACTCCTGATTCAAGAACAGTTGCCCCGTGCAGCACAGTGAACGCAACAGCAGCACGAAAGGCCGAATACTCAACGACCAGATAGACGGCAGTGGTTGAGCCACCTTGTCGTCAGTTCCTGCTGATGCTCTAGACTCTAGGTGCCCAAGCTAATGAAAACTGGCGAAGTTTACGTTTGCTCTTCGAGCCTGTGCCTGGGCCTCGTTGTTTGCTTGGAGGTGGCCTTTGCCAGCTTGCGAGTCCGAGTCACACGCCTGTGCTGCAAACATCATACAACAATGGCAATGCTCCATCACAGAAAACAGCGAACTGGGAAATCGCCAAAGACAAGGACAAGGACTCCACCTCCAGTTAGCAACAGTGGGTCTGCAGAACTTAACAGCTGAATGCTGGCTCCTTAACGCCCTCAGAGAAGTTCAATCGTATTGCCTGGTTCATCCATCCTTCATCTAGGCAACGGTTGGAGTCACGACCTCGGGATGCCGCAAGACAAGGCAACATGTCAAACTTCAAGCGACTGGCGCTGATGACCGACAGCAGGTGCTCTTGTAAAACCCCCGGCCTGCAGTCATAATCATCGTGTTTTGCAAGGCTGACGCATCTCCAAGTTCCAGAGCCAGCTGGAGGCACACGCTCGGCGAAGAAGTAGCTACAACATCATAGTGCAACACCCGTGGTATATAATGGTGACACCAGCCCTGGCAGCCAGAGGTGCTCCTGCGAATGCTTCGAAATTCACGCCGTGTGTCCGGGCGGCTGCTGTGACATGTTCCCGGCTCCTGCACATCTTCATGTACGACTTCGAAGCGAATATCTGCTACATATGCCCGAACGTGGTCAACGGAAGCTCTCCCGCCACAAACCGCGTAGTCGGTGCGCACATCCACAGGATTAAATTTCGGGATGAGGAAGGAAGCTGTTGGCGCGACTTGGCCCTTATGCTCGAGGATTGGCTGTGGGGCACCGGAGACCACCATGACCGGTACCTTGAGTGCCTCGGAACTGGTCAAGTCTTGGGTGGCCATGATCTCTATGGCGCTGTTGTCGCCGATCAGTGAAACCAGGCTACTCGTCAGGCTGAAGATGGTGGTTGTGCTGTAGTTGCTCTTGACTCTTGCATCGAGGCTGGCCCCTGGTGTCACTCGAACCGACTTGCCGCTAAACTGCAGGTCCTGCAACCATTGCAGTATTCCGCTGTCTTTGCCAGCAACACCAGCTTCACCTGGGTCGCGTAGCTGGTTTGAAGTCGGAGTTCTAGAGCACTCTAGATGGTCTCTAGAGACAGGCAGTTTGCTTTCCGTTCTTGCTAGCCTCACTACGCTGACGCCCCAACACTGAAGCCCGAACCTTGATATGGGTGAACCTCTTCTTCTGCACGGCGCTGGTAGACGCAGAAATCCGCATCTGCGACCCTCAATTGATGCTCGGAGACGCAGGCACTGCCAAAGCCTTTTAGGCACTTTTAGGGTGTAGGATTTCGAGGCTTAGCTTGTGAAGGACGGCGTGTTTGGAGGGTAGAGCCGGTCAACTTGCAGGTCAGAGATGGTCAGAGTTAAGAACCTGAACCCTGAGCCAGAAGCCCAAAACAACAACATACAACAACCACATTCCAGATGCCCTTCAGCGCCTGGAATCTCTGGCTGGCAATGGCACTCGCTGGCCAACTGTGGGATCGTTGCAGTTTCACCATCGGCACCGAAGATCATGGGTGCATAAGCCAATGAAGTCATCTTCACCAGCAAGGTGGTGTTGGCAAGGTCAACGTCAGGCACATGCCAGGCGCGATGCTCAAGCTGGTACTGGAGCCGGCGCTCCTCATGGAAGAGGCTGCCCTTCAACTCCGGATACTTGCCGGCGTTGAAGGTGCTAGTTAAAGAGACGGAGATCGCTTCCCCGACACGCAGGATGTGGATTATGTAGGTGGTGTTGACATAGTCCCCCATTGCAAGAAGCGACAAACGAGAATACAACGGGCCACCAGGAAGCGAAATCTGCTGCTCCCCTGACTCATTCAGAATCAGGGCCGTGTCATCAGCAGGCAGAAGAGGATGCTCCGTCTTGATCAGGACCCCATGCGTGAACTCACCCAGCTGCACGTTCAGCATAAGTGAATCCGCATTCTGGTCAAGGAGGAGCGTATTGTGGAGAGCATGGCTGCCAGCCATATAAGCCAACTTACCACGACTCACGCTGTAATCCACAAGCTCGCCACGTAGCTGTAGGACGTCCAGCATCACTCGGGCCACCAGCATGAAGGCTATCAGACTGGTGCTACCTGTGATAGTCCACATGTGGGCCAGCTTCTTCACTTGTCCTGGGGCAAGGCTGACGGGCGTGTCAGTGCTTGCCATAACCTCTATAGCAGCACCGTACACCTCCTGGCTTGCCAGCTGTGGCTCCCGCCACTTCTGCCGCCCAGCGCAGGTGTCATACATTGCCTTCGTGTGCATGGCCATCCCTGCCAGGAAACCCAGCTCCACAAAGGGCTTTCGTGCATATCCAGCTAGCAGTTTCATGATGATGGTACCTGCCATGGCAGCCTGGAGCAACAGGAAGGCCAGCAGAATCGGCCAATTCGCTCTGGGCAATCGCAGCAGTTGTCGGCTGCTCCGCAGAACTTCCTCATACTGCACGCCCAGCGCTAGCGTTGCGTGGCGCTGGAGCAGGACAAGCACATGCGTAGCTACAGTACCGAAAACGAGCATCATCAGAACAGGTAAGGAGGTTGACTTGGTGAAGTACTCGACCAGCAGCCACTGCGTAGATGTGTGCACTGCGAGCAGAACGAGGCTACCCCTCAACAGTACAGAAAATCGAGGCATCAACTCGGGATGCGCATGGAAAACAGCCCGAGCTTCCGAGTCTGATGGTAGCGCTCTCGGCAAGCTGTCGCCTTCCTCACAACGCTTGGGAAAGCAAAGTGTTGATGCCTGTGGTTTATCTGACGCAGACAGCGAAGCATGGCAAACAAGTGCATCTCTGATGAGTAGCCCCTTGCCCAAGAAGCTGTAAGCTACAATTATGCCAAACTCCGTACATCCCTCTTCATCAGCCTGAGTATAGGGATGTATACAACCCCTTCCATAAATTTATACCGCCTTCTTCGAGGAGTTTCGACTGCAGCTCATGCAAAGATTTTATGGGGTGGGGGAGGTCGGCCTGGGCCAGCAAAAGCCATCCAGCAGGCTCCGCCGTTCGTCCCCAAAGCTTTCTTGTGGGTTTGCCCCGAAGCTTCTTGCCAAGCTCAGTGAGGTCCTTGAAAACAAGATAGCTGTATGGTAGCGCCACAGAGCTTTCGCACGCTTGCTGAACCTCGACGCAGCTTCCTGCATCTAGTGGATCTCCAGGAAGCTGGGCCCCCGAGTCATCGAACCTCGGACAAGTTCGGGCCTAAACCGCCCAACATTGGAACTCAAGCACCCAACTGCTCAATACAGCCGCGGGGCAGGAAAGCATGCTGAGTTAGTCGAAGCTTGGATGGAAAAGTCCAATCCTCACATGCAAGAGGTGAGGGCTCTGCATCTTCGCGCATATTCCAGCAGTAGACCGCAAGGGCAACAAGGGCAACCAAAAGGAGGGAGCCCAGCGCCAGAATCGCCTCCATGAGCAGCAACAATCGCACGGGAGAGGAGCGGTGGCGGTCCAGCTGCGAGTACCAGCTCCCACAAAGGGAGCTGAGGTACCAAGGCCGGGCCTCAAAAGGCAGCTGTGCAACACAGCGCGGGTGGCCGAGCGGGGAGGATGCTGTAGGCCCGGCTGTAGGCTGGCAGAGATACCACGTGTCAAATGCTTCTCGGATGGTGGGCACCAGGAGTGCTGACCATTTGGAGCTGATGTTGAAGGGGTCTTCCGGCATCATGTGGAGTTCCACTGCAGGGGTGGATTCCTCTTCTCCCTGCACCCCGAGCAGAGCATCCTGGATGGTCTTCGTTGAAAGCTTATTCTGGGCTGCGGCCTGGAGAATGGTCTTTGCTTGCTTCACCCTGAAGCGCTGCGCCAGCTGGGCCCGCTTGGCCTCAAGTGATTTCTTCACCTCTCAAGGCGTTTGCTTTCACACGGTCTTGTCATCACTATCGCTACAGCTTACCCGGAGTCACTAGCAACAAGCTCTTGCCTTTAGCAACTTCATGCCGCTCATAGGTTCATCACAAGCTGCCGTCTTGGAGAGAAAGAACTCCCTGGAGCGAAGGAAGGTAAAGCTCGGCTGCCCCAACACTAACGACCGGACGTCCAGCTTGCTCCTGTCAAAAATGAAAATGACCCCCAACAGATCACACGCCACACCGCGTCTGAGAAAGAGCTGCACTGCAAGGTGATCAAGCCAAGGCTCAGTGCTGCTGCGGGACACTGCGCGACATTCTCAAGAGTCGCCGGTGGAGTTGCCAAAGGGACGGAACCCGGTAAGTGATTGCCAGAGCTCGTGTCACGTACAGCTTGGCAGAGGAGCCAGCATGAGAATTTCCATACAACGTGCCAAATGAGCATGGCCACTTCTTGCCAGTCTTTGAGAGGATACGCAAGGAAATGAATTCTGCCTCTCTGTCTTGCTGTGTGCCTACATACAAGAATGGAATCCGAACCCGGCCAGAAACAAGGGCACCGAGAATGTGCCATTCCTCCCCCCCCCCTCTGTTCTGTCAAGCGCAAGCCTATCTCGCAGCTAGGCGCTCAACATCAGCGGTGGCCAAGACAATCTAAGCCTTCTGAGCCTCCAGCTCGGCCACTTTTGGAGGGCTTGTTCACGTTGCTTCCTTGGAACGCCTGAGCTTAGCAGGGGTACCCCCTTCGATCTTGGTTGAGGAATGAATTGGCAATGAAAAGCGATGGATCTGAGATGTCTATGTACAACAGCTGCTTGAAGAGGATTTGCACGTATCACTGTATCACTTGAGGAATGTGGAGAGCTTCGACTGAGCGTACAAGGCGCAGATGCGAAAACACGTCAGGCCCTAGCCCAGATCAAAGCAAAGATCGTGGAAGCCTTAAGCACCTGTCTGAGAGTGGTGCAACAATGTAGCTCATGGCAGAGAGAAATCTGAAAACAAGAATCTGACTGTAATCTGCTTGGAACTCGCCAGAAAGAGATTCCATGCTTGCAGGTCGGACCCCTTGGACCTTCAGCCATAGCCCGGAGGCCGAGGCTGGCGCCTTCCCCACATCTTTTGTTGCTCATGGACAGATTAGCATGGCCCCTGCGCACAGGATAACGACACAAATCGAGGACACAAATCGAGGACACAAATCGAGAAGTGCACCATGCCGATGCGCATGGCTCAAGCACCATGAAGGGCGCAGCGAAGTGCTGAAAGAGCACCGTGGACTTGGGGTTTTGTTGGGGTGTGGGATGGGTTTGATTTAGAGGTTGAAGTTGGGGTTTATGAGCCTTGAGGCCCCAACCCCTTTAGTATGCAGTACAACAATCTAGATGATTTACCGTACTCAATTCGTCGGAGGCTCGGGGCTCCATCCTCACCTAGCCCATCTCACTACTCACTAGTCTCTAACACCCCATCTACTGGCCCTCATAACCCTCATAACCGACAGGTTATGAGCCTTAATTTCCACCCCAACCAGACGTACCGGCAGCTGTGGTGGAGCTTTCTTCTCGTATCCAGCATCGCACAAGTTTGCTTGGGGCTATGTTGCAAGATGTTTCCAGTAGCACACAAATGCTTCAGGAGGATTGCAAGATCCTTGAGGCTCGTGTGGAACAGATGGCAGGCGCATTGCAAGAGCAGCAGATTTTTTGTGGAGCAACTCCGGGAGCAATCTGCTGAACAATCGCGGATGATGAGACAAAGGTTGGAGGAGCAACACCGTATAAATGGAACTCTTGATTCCCGGGTACATGCACTTGAGAATTCCACGATCATACAAACAGGGGCTGTAATGGCCGCAACGATGGAGCAGCTGGATGGGAAGCACTTGGAAGAAAGGGTGGATACTCTTGAAGGCCAAGCACGCCGGGCCCAATCCACTTCTGCAGATCTTGAACGGATGCTTGCAATGGCAACTCAGGAAGCGGATGGTGGCAGCGCAAACGAAACCTTGGTACGTATGCTCAGAGATCAGATGGAACAAATCCTGCTGACTACGGACCAGGTCAGTGCCCGTGTGGATGCAGAACTGGTAACGCTGACTCAACGTGTGGAGGCAGTGGCGAAAAGCTACGCGGGCAGGCGAACAACATGCAGAGTGAACGGAGCAATGCCTGGAGCAACTTCGGGAAGAGCTTCAAGATATTAGCCAACGAGATGGACCATCAGTGCATGAGATGTCTCCTGACATCCCGACAGATTTGGCAGCAGCTGAGGATGCTTGGTGGGGCACAGGAGGAGAAGCTGGGGATACAGGTGAGTGGACTGGTTTGGTCAGGATGATGCCTGGACGTGGCAGTGGTCTGAACCTCCAGGACTTCCTCCGCAGTACTCCAAGCAGGCAGCTGAGCAAAGATCCAATGAGACGGGAGGATCTACGATGGAGGCGGCGCCGCACGGAAGATGGAAAGTCTTGATGGAGATCCCTTCCTTTTCGGTGGGAGGAGGAGAAACGTGGGAGTGCAACATGCGACTTCAGGCATGGTGGTTGCAGTTCCAGACAATTTCAACTACGGTGAGTCCTGGTTTCGGGGCGTATGTGCATGCCGAGTATGCGGTGGCGGAACAAAAACATCAGAAGCGATTGACTGGACAGTACAATTTGCCTGATCTGACTCCAGTACTGCCAGAGCACCAGGAGTACGAGAACCGTTTGATGCTTACCTTGATACTTTGTCTGCCACAGGAAGTTCAGCAGCCAGTGTTGGAAAAGACGGGGTCATCGAAGCTTCGCGGAGTACACCTTTTGGAGTGTATCTTTCAGGAACAGATGCCTGGAGGACAGCAAGAGATGAAGAGCATCCAGGCCTTTGTAAGGCACCTAGATCCGGCTTACTCCGCTAAAGAGGGGCTGGAAACCCTGAGGAGGTGGAAACTGGCTCGCACGCGGGCACGCGACTTGCAGCTGCCCGCCGTCGCCTCGTTTGAGGAGGTGCAAGCCTTGAGCTCCTTGATTCGCAATGTGGAGCGACGATCGGAATCGTTTAAGACACTCATGGGTTTGCTACGAGTACAACCTGACGTTCTTCATCCGAATCCGCAAGGTGTAGAAGCGATGATTAGTCTGATCGAACAACAGTTGCAAATCCTCGCTGCTGATGAAACCATAAAGAACAAAAAGCGTGGCGGCGGAGCAGGCGACAGTGCGTCATCGAAAGGAAAAGGCAAGGAGAAAGGGAAAGGAGAAGGCAAAGAAAAAGGAAAGGAGGCCAAAGGAAATGGAAAGGAGGCCAAAGGAAACAAAAGAAAAGGACATCCTGGAAAAGGAAAGGACCCACAGCAACTTGATGCATCCAAGGCCCAGGAGAAGAAGAAGAAGGACAAGCCGTGTCGGTTTTTCTTTACTCCAGCTGGTTGCTATCGAAACAATTGCATGTACAGTATAGTCATGACGAGAAGTTCAGGAAGGATGTCGTCAAGGGTGCAAAAGCAGAACAAGAAGCTGCTGGCTTGGCGGGCACAAGTAGCAGGACCTCATCCGAAAGCTTCAGCAATTTCTTTTGCAGGTATGGCGCGCAGAGTAAGCCCTGAGATTTCTGAGGAAGAATCTTTGGTTTCGGTTGAAACGTTGTCCACTTCGGCTTCGACACCAACTCCCGATTCGACAGAAACTGGCGATGAAATCCTAAACGCAGGTGACATCCCGATTGACTTCCTCGATGAACTGAGTGAGGCAATCGCAGAAGCTCGGAGGGTAAGACTGCAGCGGCAGCCGCTATGGTGGGTTCACTTGGACCCAGATGAGTACTCCACATGGAGCAGCACCGGTCACATACAATCTCGAGCTTGCCGGCCCTTTAGAGGAGAGACGAGCCCGTTCGAGGTGGCAGTGGGTGTCTTTTTGTTATTGGAGAGACAAGATCAGGTTTTTCCGACCTATGACTTCGACATCAGCGAGACGCAGAGAATTGTGGAAGCCCATGATTTGTTGATCATGCGTGAGGACCAAGTGGTGAGGCCAGGATACATCGCATGGCTCATGGACCTTGAGGAGGACACTGAGATCTTGTTCGCTGTGGTTGAATCAAGCTCTCGACCTGGAAGGCCGGAAGTTGCGTAGGAGAAGTGCATGGCTGCGCCTCCGCTATGGGGGTGCCACCATGTCCTGAGGCTCCACGAGTGAAGAGACCTCCGCTGTTCACGGCATCCAGTACATCATCGAGCAGTACGAAATCGCCACCACCAATTCCAAAGGGAGCCTATCCCAAGGCGCCGCTGGCCAAGGGTATTCAGCTAGTGGTCAGGGCCCTCAACAAGCAGCAGCAGTAGCGCAGCAGCACCAGCAACTATGAAGCGTGGGCCAGAGTCTGGAACAGATGGAGGTTCACGGGCCAGCATGAGTGTCGCCGAGGGACATAGTGGATCAGAAGTTTTGCTTGACAGTGGGGCGAACGAAGTAGTCAGGTCTGGTTGAAAAACACGGTGCAAAACATGGCTCACCCTACCACACTGTAAGATCAAAACAACTTTTCTCGCTCCGACTCTTGAGCCGAAGCCTCCAGTGTCAACTTCGTTCTGCAACGAACTCACCATATCTTAGGCATTCTGTGTCTTTCCTACTGCACCCATTCACTGGTGCAACTTGGAAGCAGGCTCCGTTGAAAGCACCTTATTCCTGTTGGCCGAAGCAGCCAGGCTCTTGTGAAAGGCTCAATGCGCCGTAACAGCGTTGTACCTTCCCATTTAAAGCTCTGCAAGTTGGAAACAAAACAAGTTCCTCCAATGTGAACTGTCAAAAAAAAGAAAATCTAAAAGGAACACACAAGTTTACTTTGTAGCGTTGCAAGGTTCTGAATCTTTAAATTCAAACCCCAAACAAAGTTTCCACGTGTTCTCGTTACTGTTACTGTCTCTGTGTTGGAATTGGGTTCTGTTCCGCACAGTACAACAATATGCTTCTACACAAAACGGAAATCTTGCTTGTGACGGTCAGGCAGTTTTCCCTTAAGCCCCTCCAACCCCGTAAAGCCCCTTCAGCTTTTTTTTCAAGCGGACGCCCATTTACCACATCAGCAGCACAGTGGGCCGGTCGAAAAAGCAGCAACGCCAGAACACAAATCTCAGGTGAAACGTTTCCCTTTCTCAGCGCACAAGGAAGTCAAAGTAGACCCGTCGGTTTTGGACTTGTGCAGTGCAGTGGAAAAGCTGCAAAATGCAGACGTAATGAAACCATCCATTCCAGAAGTCGGAGACCAGCAAGTAGATCCTTGTCCGGAACACTACACTAACTTGACGTCAAATGCGACAGTACCTCTTACTGCCACACGCGCGTTCTGCCGCTTCCAATCGCCGCGGAGACTAAAGCGCTGCGCCGTGTTGATGTCATCCATGCTTCAGGGGGGCTTGAGGCTTGACCGTTTCCTCCCTCGTAAAAAATCGCCCTTCTTTTTTGAATGGAGAGGAGCTTAAAAGCATTGAAGGTGTTTACTTGGACACATGCTGTACACTTAACACCCCGCCTCGGAACAGGTCGAAGGCTTTAGGGCGTTCTCTGTCCTGCAGTGATTCTCACTGCTGTGCCAAAAGACGAACTGTTTCGGACTTCGAGTGTACCGGTTCTCTTTCCTTTTTCTTGAAACACGCAGAAACTCCTAACCTTGAATTTCTAGTTACACGGGCTTGTCTTAGCGTCCTCATCTCGTGAGTCTCAGCCCTGTGGCCAGCCTATGGCTCTGGTCTTCTCTTTTACCTAATCTTCTTTCTTGAATTGTTCTTGCCTCTACCTGGCTGCACCTTACACTCCTGGTCCTGCTTCGTGAAACTCTTCGTGAAACTGCTTCCTTCTTGTTTCGTGTGAATATCACAGCCTCAAACGCTTCACCTTCTTCGTGCTTGCAAATGGTACGAGTTCTGCTCGACGCAGGCAGTATGAAGCACAAGGCGCCGCTCATGCGGAAGCGCAACGAACGCTCCGGCGAAGAAAATTTGACGCGTTTGCCTTCGCCGGCTGGTGCGAACATTGCGTTGCCGCCCGCGAAGGAGAATCAGCACAAAAGAAGGGAACTTACTCGCTCCCCCACTGAAAGCAGCAAGTCAGTGCCAGTATCGAGAAGAGGAGGAGCAGCAAGAAAGCAAGAACCTGGTTGGCATGATACCGACAGCATTGTGCTTGTGCACTACTCTCCGGCACAGTCAAAGTTCAAAGCCCCACTAACATGTGCCGTACAGAAGATTTCCGTACAGAAGCACGATGATCAAGACAGAAGATGGTGCATGGAAAGCCGTTGAAATTTGCAAGAAGTATGCGCAGAATGGACCCAGCGCACTCTCCCTGAGGTGGGAGTGCCCAACCCTCGCCATAACACAGCTGAGAGGATCGGGGATCTAATTTTGCGGTAGGAGTTTCCAGGGCGCAACGATGCCAGACTGCATCAGAGCGCAGTTTCGAATCTCACAGGAGCACTGCTCCGGAGGATTTGGAGGACGCTGCCCTTTTTTTGGCAGCTCGGGGCCATGTCGGGAATTGCCGGGATGGCTTCGGGGCCTCAAATAACGCTCAGGAGCTCCGCGCTCGTGGCCACACCCTCCCCCACACGAGGCGTTCGTGATGGCGTGGCAGAGCTCCGCGGCTCTCCCATCGTTGCCGCCCGCGCCCACGAGCCTCGGGCCCCCTGCGCCCGGTGCTCCACCAGCAGCGCACCCTCCGGCGCGAGCCGCCGGTTCTCCCGGTCCTTGATGGCCATCCTGTGGGGGTGCGAGATGACGAGGCAGGTGTCGGGGTGGGTCCGCCGCGGGAACCGCTCCCACGGCCTCCCGCAGCGGCGCCCTGCTCCGGCTCGTCCACCCGCAGCCAATGCAGGAAGCGGAAGATCGTCTCGTCGCTGCGCTGGTTGTCCGTGAGCTCGTGCACGCAGCCGCCCGCCAGGTCGTGCAGCAGCTGCGAGTCCTTCAGCGAGCGCAGCACCGGCACGCCTGCGAAGGCGTCCTGCACGGCGGGCAGCTGCCGGACAACAGGAAGCGCATTTGGCGGTTCGTGGAGAGCTCCGCGACGTCGGCCCACAGCCCCACGTCGAGCTGCGTAGCCAGTCCAGCGCGCAGCGGCCCGCACGGACGGTGCGCCGCGCCCAGAAGAAGACGTCCCTGGAGCGTGCCCACAACCCGATGAGCACGTTCGGCGCCACGTGGGACGTGCGCCGAGCATGAAGGCCACCGCCGGCTTGCCGTACCAGCCCAGGCCGATGTAGGGCGGAGGCCCGCACGCTTGTCCTCCCGCTTCCGCACGAAGGTGAGGTCGGGGGCAGAAGACGGGCAGCGGGAAGGGGGCGTTGCACCACGTCCACGCCCTGGCACACCTTCTCGGAATTGCACTTCGCCAGCCCGCACACGAGCGGCGGCAGCCGGGGAGCAGGCGTAGCTCTCGAAGACGTGGCGGCAGAAGCGGCTCTCCAGGCTCGTGGCGTGGGAGCCCTCCAGCAACGTCTTGGCGTAGTGGCACTCCAGGCACAGGGCCTGCAGGCGCTGCAAGGACTGCCGCCCCGGCGAGCCGCTGCCCACGGTAGGCGAACCTTTCAGACTATCTTAGACTATGTTTTGTCTGTAGTTAAAAATAGTCTGCGTTAGACAAATTTTATGGGAAAAATAATCTATTTTTGGCGTGCAAATAGCTAATTTTGTAAACAAAAATTGCCCGCGAAAATAGTCTATTTAGACTATTTTTTGGGGGAATATCTTGTTTTTTGGCGCCCCAAAAAACGGTTGCAAAATATCTTGTTTTTTTGGGCCGAAAACTAGCCTATTTTCACCGGTTCGGCAACTCGAAATTTCGAGTAAACTTCGGGAAACGACAACTCGAAATTTCGAACAAGCTTCGGGTTGCCGGAAGATGATGATTTGAGCAGAATCTGAAGACAATTCTTCCTGATCTTGACAGGGAAAGGTAATTCTTCAGATCTGTCTGGTGTTTTGCACTGATCTTAACAGGAAAAGGTAATTCTTCTGATCTTCCAGGTTTTTGTTTTGCACTGAAACCCTAAACCCTCAACCCTCAACCCTAAACCCTAAACCCTAAACCCTAAACGCTAAACCCTAAACCCTAAACCCTAAACCCTAAACCCTAAACCGTTCTTGTTCTTGTTGTTGTTGTCGTTGTCGTTGCTGTTGTCGTTGTCGTTGTTGTCGTTGTGGTGGCGGTGGTGGTTGTTGCGGTCGTCGTCGATTCTTTTTGTGTTTCTCGACTCTTGTGCGGTTTTTTTGATGTTGATAAACAATCCTTTTTCGAGGGCATATTATACCTGAGGAGTGTGGTCTACTCTGAGGGATACTCTTCTGAGGGATAATAATCATGCTTTGAGGGATACTCTGAGGACTCACAGCTTATACTTTGAGGGATACTTCGAGGAGAGACAACAGGGATAATGCTTTGACTGAGGGGCGAACAAGGAATACTTTGAGGGATACTCTGAGGAGTGACAACTAATACTTTGAGGGATAGGGAATCCGAACAACAAGGGATACTTTCTTGGAGAGGGATACTTTGTTGTTGTTTGCCACGCAAAGCAAAAGCACAGGCCTGAACCCTCAGCAAGACTCCTCCTCCTGGTATTCTTAGGGTTTAGAATTGTTTTTTAGAAAAGGGTTTAGGGTTTTTGTTCTGCAGAAGTAGTGCCTCAAACCTGAAACCTAAACCCGACTGGAGTGTCTCAGGGCCACCACCGGCAACATTTCTCTGCCTAGCAGATTTCCCGAAGAAGTTGTCACTACGAAGAAGAGAAATGAAGAAGAAGAAGAAGAAACGCCCCAGCTACACAGGAGGTAGTAACCCGAATGGAGTGTGTCAGGGCCACCACCGGCAACATTTTTTCTCTGCCAAGCAGATTTCCCGAAGAAGTTGTCACTACCAAGAAGAGAAGTCAAGAAGAAGAAACGCCCCAGCTACACAGGAGGTAGTAGAAGGACAATTCGGGCTCGCAGCTGCACAATGCTTTTTGTCAATCGTCGTCGTAGTCGTCGTCGTAGTAGTAGTAGTAGTAGTAGTAGCAGTAGCAGTAGCAGTAGTAGTCGTAGTAGTAGTAGTAGTGGTAGTAGTAGTAGTAGCAATTGTAGGACTAACCAGACCGCCTCCCCATATTATTGCTACTCTGCGAGGGCTTATTCACCATTGGTAGAAACATTCTTTTTCGCTGTGCATCATCCTCCTCACGACGCAGCATCAAATAGAAGGCTCAGACCGAGCCTGTAATGCCGAAACATCTTGTTCACAGCATACACTCCTGTGTTGCCTTTCAAACTCATGGAGGCAAGCCTTTGAGCTTTCTGTTGAAAATCTTCCCCGACGAAACACCAGACCAAGCGAGGACTCAGGCATTTGCTCAGAAGGGCAGCATGTTGTAACATGTGTGTCTTGCTCGTCAAGGAAAAAGTATTGTTTGCCCAAACCAGCATAGTACTTCGCAAGATCGGCGTGCAACAGCAACATGTCGGAGCACGCCTGTTCGAAGGCTCGAGCCTCGTCGTCCTCGAAAAAGAGTTTGTCGTGGTGTTCTGTCATCAGTCGTTCCATCATGACATTCTTCTTGAGCAACAATGTTATCTGTCGATGCACCAGCTGTGTGTTGTCGCAATGGCTTTGCCACAGTGACAGCAAGACCTCGGCAAAATGCCTGATCTCTGCCGCCTTGCCTCGCAGTTTCGGCCCGCCACTTTTTCGAACGAACATTGTCAACCGAGTCAGGGACCACCATGTCCGTTCCAGGTACTTACTGTGCATGTAATCGCAACAAACCTGCAGCACACTCATTCCAGGAACCTCCTGGAAGAGGGGGTTGGTTGACTTGCCTTCCCAGGCATGCCATGTCTCGGGGGTCCACATGGTTGCTCGCCATGGGGCCCCAGCTGTAAAGTTGGACCAAGTCGCTGGCCCAGACAACGAGCAGCGACAAAGGCTGCAGGGCATGTGTGCATTGTTGTAAGAGGGCAGGTTTAACCCCGCAACATAGTAGTCCAAGTCGCCCAGCACTGCCCAGCAAACGCCAAAAAAGCCTTTTGCAAGTGGCTGGCCAGCTTTGCAAGCTTGCAAAGTACCGCTCGGAAACCTGATACTGATGGGAGGAAGAAGCATCTCGACGACTGTTCTTGTTGTTGTTAATCGTTTGTTCTTCTTCTTGTTTTGAGTGTTACTATGATTGCTATTTGTGTTTTCAGTTGTATGTACTATCATTACGATTATTCTTAGCGATACAAGTAAGTAGTGCTAGTACTAGTACTAGTACTAGTACTAGTACTAGTAGTAGTAGTAGTAGTAGTAGTAGTAGTAGTAGTAGTAGTAGTAGTAGTAGTAGTAGTAGTAGTAGTAGTAGTAGTAGTAGTAGTAGTAGTAGTAGTATGTGAAGTCGACCAGCACTGGACTTGCACTAAGCCAATGCAATCACAGCCCGGCCACGCTGTTTTACGACTTCGCGAGTTCAAGCACTTGTGCAGCTACGCCTGAGTGCGTCCGGTCGGACCGCACAGCAACCTAAGAGCTACTGTACGAAACTACCGTGCTCAAAGGCACAAGCTCGGTACTTGAGCCAAAACATTGGCATTGTTACGAATTGCAAAACTACGCATGCAAAGGAAAACTACTACAGTACTGGCCCTGGCAGCTTTGCACATGCAGCGTGCGTGCATAGACCTGCTCACATTCGCCCCTCAGCCGAGGCTTCCAGCTCATCTCGAGCTCGGAGTGCAGCAGGCACTCGCGCTGAACACAGAAAGGGAAGGGAGAGGGTGTCGCGTGCGACCGCGGTGGCCCGCACATCATGAGCATTGGCATGCGGCAGGGACGCTAGCCCGCACCACCAAAACGAACGCACGACGACAGCAACCCTCAGCAGCCCTAAACCGCCCTTTCCCTGAAGGCCCTCCCCCTTTTGCTGGTGGGCGAGGCTCCTGAATCCTCGAGCTGGTCTCTAGCTGCCAGTACGCAGACTATGGTACAAATGGTACACTGTACAACCTACCGGCCCTAAGCTACGGCTACGGCAACTCACCTATCCAGAACTACCCTACGGGCTACCGGACTCAGCGAGAGCCGCGCACATTGCTTGTGCCGCAGCCAGTGCAACTCGCACGCGCTTCGGCGAGCGCACTGCCGCGACCAGGACACGGTCCGCAGCACCTGCAAAAGAGCGCCCTCGACAAGAGGGGCCACAGGCAGGGCGGAGAAGAAAAGTGCGGGGAATGCAAAATGGGCAGGCTTCCAACCTGCCGCGGCTTTTCGCCCGCAGTCACGCAAAAGAAAGTGCAAAAGGTTGGCGAAGCAACGTGCCGTGCTGCAACGCCTGCTCTGATAATGCGTGGATGCATACCACGCCGCGCCAACTGGCCGCAGCCTACTCGATACCCTGTGGAGCAGTGTTGGGGGCACGAGTGGCGTTGCCAGCAACGTTGGAGCTACTGGCTCGCTCCAACTGAGGGCGCTTCGCAACCGCCTCATCGAGGGAGAACGCCTCAGCCGACACCCTCTGGAAATCCTCGACGTAGGACTGCGCGACAGGGTGCGTCTTGGGGACCTCAAGCTTAAGCCCTGCCTCCGCATTGGCTTTGCTGCTTGTGGTAAAATTGAGGCTCCCAATCAGCACCACCGCGCCGTCAGGCCGCAGTAGGCAAAGGGCTTTGGCATGGCGCAGCCCTTGAATCCCGGTGCCTACCTTAGCCCCGCGGCCGTCGCGAGCATAGGCGTCGCGCAAGGATGTGCCGCAACCCACCTTCACCTCGGCACCTGCGGCCGCCAAGCGTTTCAACGCTTGCCACTGAAGCTTGGTGCGGTGGCATTGTCCCATGTCGGCGACAATCCGAACGCTTGCGCCCTTGCCAAGCGACGCTTCGATTGCCTCGATGCAGGATGGGCAATCTAAGCTGTAAGCCCGGATGTAGATCACATCCTCTGCTGCTCCGGACCCAAGCAGCGTTTGGGCGGCCTGAATGTATGGCCCGCCCGCAAGGAATTCCGCTTCTTTGACTGGAGAACTCCTAGCGGGGGCTGGGCCCTTGTTCCTCCGGCCTGGCGTGCGCGCCACAGTGGCAGTGGCGGCACGTTGCACGGAGCCGGAATGTGCGTGGGCTGCGCTCGCTCCATCTGCTGGGGCCGCGGCCAGGTCACGACCCGCGAGCCCCTGAAAGCAGGAGAGCCCGCGGCTCTTGGCCGCGAGTTGGGAGAAACACCCTTCACTGTTCCCCAAACCCAACACCACCTTACCCTTAGCTAGGGCATCGGAGGCGGTACTCCGAATGGAGTCTGTGAGCGCAGGACCCGCGCCTCGCTGGGCCGCGTGCAAAAACCCTAAGGAACGAGCGGTGTCCATTGCGGCATCGCAATGCCCGCAGCGTCCTTCTGCCAGGTAAGCACGACAGCCACAGGCAGCTGTCTCCTCCTTGAGATGCACCCAAACCTTATGGGTCACCCCTTTCTTGGTGCTCGCGACCTCAAACGTCGCTTCGGAGCCAAGGAGCTGAGACAGCCGCGCCTCAGGGGCCGCGGTGTTGCCATGTCGCAATGCGCAATGCGATTGGCAACGGCACGACTCACGTACCACAGAACAGCACCGCACAAGATCACTACTACCAGAGTGATGGCTGTTCCGGCGACCCACACGGTCCGCCTGGCCCCATGGCCGATTTCCTCGACAACGTCGGCCGAAACCGTTGCAACCGCGTGCATGGAGTCCTCGACAACATGCACAACCCCGCGGTGCAACTGCAAGGCAATCGGCGCCGACGCTGCAGCCGCCAGGCCCCACCAGCCGTTGATGTTCCCGTTGAGGGCGTGCATCAAACGATTGAGGAGCCCGCGACCCAGGAAAAAGGGGGTCCGCGGCGGAAGCGGAACACTCGGCGGCGGCCGGGCCGACCCGCACGGGAAAGCTGGGACCCAGCGTGTGCTTGGGCGGGGCTGGAACGCGGCAACAATGCCCGCGGCGAAAGCGCCCCAGGCGCACTTGCCCCTCCCCTTGGGCTTGCCCTTGGCATCGGACTTGCCTCTGCCCTTCGGCTTGCCCTGGCCCTTGCCACGGGCGTCTGCCCAAGCACCCCAAGGGTCGCGGCCCTTGCCGTGCGTCGCCTCCTCGCGACGTCTCTTGCCGCCCCTCTTCTTGTGTTTGCTTCTAAGAAGAGGCTGGATCGTTTCCTGATCCATCGCGCGATTGGCCAGAAGGATCTCGTACTCCAGCTCATCCTGGCTGCTCTCGGAGCCCGAGTCCCTCTGTTCGCCGCGCCGCGGATCCGGGATCCCGCGGGAAACAACCTCTGCCAAGCGGAGGGGTGTGCTGCACCTAAAGCACAGCTGCCTGAATGAAAGGTTCCATTCATACCTGGAGATGCCGAGGAGGCTAAAATATCTGTTTTTTTGAAGATAACCGTTTTTTCGCGTCCGAGAACGAAAATTTCTGTTCTCGAGCGTTTTTCGGGACTATTGCAGAATGAGACATGGGCTCATGTTTGGCGACGGCGCTCTTTGCCGACCGAAACGCGCTCTTTCCCGGCCGAAACGCGCTTTTTGCCGACCGCTGCTTTGCCACGCTTTGCCCAAACATGGCACGAGCACTTTTTTCATCGAAGAACGAATTTCCTGAACAGCGACTTAAATTCATGCTTTTCCAACCAACGACTAATATTTTAGTCCCCTGGAGGGTCCAGGTAGCAGTTAGGGCACTGCCACCCTGCTATGCGGAGCGCTTCGCTGATGTGATCATCGCGCTCCGCCTTCTCCGCCTGGCGCCGCTCCCGCTTCTTGGCGCGCTCGGCCGCCTGCGCCTCCTCGGCCGCCTGGAGGGCTTCAGCGAGTTCCTCATCGCTGAGGAGCCTCGCGGCATCTGCCCGCGCTTGTTGGTCTTCAAGCTCTTCGGCAGAAAACCTCCGCCGCCATTGCTCCGGCGCGGTTTGGGGATCCACCTCCCACCACCCGATGTCGATCCCATTGATCCATCGGCCGTCGCACGGGGCGCCCGCATTCGGGCCGCCCGCGTGCGTGGTGAGGCACTGGTCCTCGGTAACCGGGTTGATGGCTTCGCAGAAGAAGCACCGCCAGCTGCCGTAGGGGTAAAAGCGGCCTTCGACGTAGGCTCGGTTGGCTGGGAGGGCGACCTCGTCCGCCTCATCCGCGGTGGCAGCCTCCATCTCAACCGAGACCTCCTCGTCTTTGGGCATGGAGATCGTCAAGAGGCGTCACCAGGTCCGGCGAGTAATCTCGCTTGGAGCGACGCTCGGCCAGGCGTCGCTGGACGTCGCCCTTCGGCGGCTCGAGGGCCCGCCCGCGTGGAGCGGCCTTCCGCGGAGGCTCGGGCACGGCCTCCTCCGTGGGCTCGCTCTTGGGCGTGGACCCTCCATCACTTCCCTCTGGAGCACCAGGGGGGTCCAGCTCGGGGTCGTCGCGAAGCCACCCCGGCGGATGGCTACCACCATAGATGTGGTGCGATCCATCCTCAAGCTGGATTCGGTCCCCTCGCCTCAGGAGCGGGACTCTCGAGTGATCGTACCCGTTGGCTTTGTGGTACCTAATCACTCGGAGCATGGGCACCTCCCCATACCCACCGTCCTTCCCTCGGCGGAACAACCGTCCCCGCCAGTCCTGACGAAAAGGGTCAAGAGGTGCGGAGGGGCTGATCCCCAGGTTGGGCGGAAGAGAGGCGCCATGGCAGGCCGCCTGATGCAAGTGGTACTGCACCAGCGACTCAAAGGCTAGCCCGCATCCCGGAGCCGAGCATCCGTAGTGGCCGTCAGCGTTGGGGCGAGGCTCCTCTGAGGCTGAGGCGGACTGGGCGGTCCCGCCTCCCGAAGGCCTGGCGGAAGTGCTCGACCCCGCGGCCCCGGGGGCGTCCTGACCATCGTCAG